ACTTTACAATTCTCTTTATATATGTAGTTGTTTTAGAATGTTCTTCCTTTTAATGCATGGTTGCAAAAAGAGCAAATATATTAGTGGGAAGGGAAATACCTGGTCTTAAAATTTCCTGGAAGTGACTTGGGTCAGGAGGAGGGACTCAGACCAAAGTGGGAAGCACAATAAAGAAGGCCAGCAGTCTTTAATGCGTGCATCGCAATAATCAGATGCAGCAACGGGAGCCCGGATCTTCTATTTTCAGAAAGCAGGGTCTTGGGAGCCAAACCTGGCTCCTGTAAGCTGTGTGTTAGCTGCTCTAAGAATACAAGCACAGCTGCCTGCCACAGGACTGACATGGGAGGTGGGCAGCTAGTACGCTAAGAGCTGAAACTGATAGACACTAACTACAATTTACCATCAAAGAATTCTCCCGCAAGTTGAAAGCCTTTAATAGACTCCAAAGTTCCAAAATAGTGATATCAGATATATTCAAACCATACAATTATTGTCTAGGTGGGCAGGCCCCCAGAGCCTCCCACTCTGCCATCTTATCTTCCAGAATACTTTCTCTGCTCAATTGTTTTTAAAAGTTTATAAAGCTGGCTTAGTATGTGTGCCTTTAGGAGTTGCTTTTCGTTCAGTTTGACACCACCAGCTCTCTCTCTCTCTCTCTCTCTCTCTCTCTCTCTCTCTCTCTCTCTCTCTCTCTCTCTTCAGCCTGCTAGGCCAGCATTCAACTTCTGAACTCTGTCCCCCACCCCGTGAATATTCTTATACATGTTTTGATTTTAGACATGATTTCAAGAGTTTCTCTTGAGTCTGTGTCTAAGAATAAATTTTCTAGGCCTTAAGATTTCTAGGTATTCAATTTTGGCAAGAAAATCACAAATTGTTTTCCAAAATGCTTGTATCCCTCGCCTTCCCTCCAAGTAATGAGTCAGCTGTCCCACTGAGTCACTTTCTTTAACTGAGGATGGCTAAGCCTTGAAGTCCTCAAAGTCCTCTGTTAGTCTGCGCTGGCATCTCGCTGTGGTCTGACGTCACATTTTCCCAGCATGCAGTAGGAGTAGCCCCATTCCATTCATTATAACTGTATGTGTTGTCTCCCTGTGGAAGGCATACTGCATGTTCCCACTCAAATCTTCGATTTCCTGTTGTTAGCCCATCTTTGCGTTCCTGTTAATACCATGACTTGATTTTAGCAAATCCTTTCTTGCTTGCTACATTGGACCCGCTAATATTTTGTTTAGGACTTCTGCATCTATTTTTTGTGAGAAAAGTATTGTGTAAATTTCCTTTCTTGCCAGACATGGTGGCTCACACCTGTAATACCAAGACCCAGGGGGCTTAGGTAAGAGAACTGTTACAAGGTGAAACCCAGTCTGAGATACATAACGAGGTCCATTCCAGACAGAGAGAAGGAACTGGGAGGGGTGTAATCCGAATATGTTGACATAAACATAAAAAGTAAGAACTAAAATGGATGAAATTTGAAACTAAGAAATAAAGAAAGACAAAGCATGATTCCAGAAGGGCTGGAGAGTAGCCCAGTGGAAGAGCATTTATCTAGCGTGCTCAGGATCTTGGGTTACACTCTCGACGCTAAACAACAGCAGAGTTCCTGTAAAGACCAACCAAAAGACATAGAAACCACTTGGAAATTAATTTTTAATATGGAATACTATAAATAAAAACATTATTACATATACAGCAAACATTTAAAAGACAGTAATAGATACAAATGTATTAATCTGAGAACTCAGATAAAATAGATTTTGAATTTTAAAAAAGTATTTTATTAAATTTTCAAGACTAAATAGCAGGGCATGGTGGTGCACATATTTAATACCAGCATTCCATAGGCAGAGGCAGGCAGAGTTCAAGGCCAGCCTAGTCTACATAATGAGGTCTAGGTGAGCCTACACTGTGAGATCCTGTATTTAAAAAAGAAAAAGAAATTAAATGAAATGAAAAAAAAACCAGACTTATTAGTGTCACGTTAAACAGTGGTTCTGTATGTTTGAAAATGGCTGATTAAGCCTTCAAAAGGATAGCCATTTTGATCTTACTCAAATACTTCCAGAAACTAGAAAAGGGAAATTATTTCCCAATCTAGTCTAGGAAACTGGTAAAAATTTGAAAATCCAATAAGGACAGTACAAGAAGTTATTATTTTAAAGAGACAGACTGACAGATACATACACTGAGATGAGAGAGAGAGAGAGAGAGAGAGAGAGAGAGAGAGAGAGAGATTGAGAATGAATATCAGTCTATAGTCCAGAGAGAGAGAGGGAGAGAAAGGTTGAATATCAGTCTATAGTCCAGAGAGAGAGAGAGAGAGAGGGAGAGAGAGAGATTGAATATCAGTCTATAGTCCAGAGAGAGACAGAGCGAGAGAGAGAGAGAGATTGAGATTGAATTTCAGTATATAGTCCAGAGAGACAGAGAGAGAGAGAGAGATTGAGATTGAGTATCAGTCTATATAGTCGAGAGAGAGAGAGAGAGAGAGAGAGAGAGAGAGAGAGAGATTGAATATCAGTCTATAGTCGTGAGAGAGAGAGAGAGAANAGAGAGAGAGAGAGAGAGAGAGAGAGAGAGAGAGAGAGAGAGACTGAGATTGAGATTAAATATCAGTCTATAGTCCAGAGAGAGAGATTGAATATCAGTCTCTAGACCAGGTCGATCTCACACTCTCGTAGCCAAAAGTAAGAAATGAGCTTGGGTTCCGTTTTAAAATGGATTATTTCATTACGCTTGTTTATTTGGCCGGCACACAAACGTCATGGCATGAGTGTGGAGGTCAGAGGATGGCTTGCAGGAGTCAGTTTTCTTGTTTGCCGCGTGGGCCCCAGGAATTGAACTCAGGTCATGATCCTTGACAGCATGCCCCTTTATTCAGTCAGCCAGGCATCTCAGCAGCCTGGTCATGGTTTCTGGACCCTCCTGACTCCATCCCCCTGGTGCTAAGATCACAGGCACACACCATCATGCCTGCTACACATGTGCTGAAAACTGAACCAGGGCTCTGTCCAGGCTAGATGAGCACTCTACCCACTCTGTCACCCTCCCAGGCCAGTCTCCCTGTGATTTCTTCAGTGGTGCTTCAGCTATTTGAGGTATAGGTTTTAATCTCCAAGCATACGGAAATTACAAGTTATTTCCTCACTATCAATTCTCAACCCTGGCTGGAGAGAGAGCTCAGCGGCTAACAGTGTACATTGCCCTCGAAGAAAAGCCAAAGTTCAGTCCCCAGCAGTTACGTCAGGTGGCTCACAACTGCCTGTAGTCCCAGCTCTAGGGGAATCCTGCACCTTCAACAATCATGTGTGTGTATCCACACACAGACCCGCACACATATATCTAACTAAAAATAATAAAATAAATTTCTAACTCAGCTGCTCTGCAATCTGTGCGGTAACAACAGAAGTTAATTGAGATCAGTTTTTACGACCTGACACATCTCAAGCTTGAACTTCCTGTGTGGGCTTGAGAAGGGTTCGTGAGATCATTCTGCCAGCAGAAAATGCTGAGCCTTTGGCTCGATCATGTTGATTGTTTTGCTTCCATTTTCCATGTCCCTGTTGCTTTGTGTGCTTATTGGATCTGACCTTTAATCAGCCCCACGACACTTCATTTTAAATCTTTCTTGGATGCCATAGACTGATATCCACGTGAGATATTCTTTTCATTCCTTTTAATGTCATTTTATCTTAACCATGTATTTGATGGTTCCACCATCTGTAACTCTTGGGAAGATAAATCCAACGGCCTTGATCTCACTGCCTCTCACCCTTGCTTCTCATGGCTTTGTGAGGCCAGTGCTGCTTGCACTCTGAGGGAACACTATAGGAGGCAGGAAACCGTGAGGGAAGGAAAGAGAGAGGTGGGGGGGGGGGGACTTCCCTTTATGTTGCCACTTGAGGACCAGGCACCCAGACCTGCTAAAGTTCTCTTCTAAGATCTTAATTCAGACCAAGAACACCAGCTCAGCTTCTCTTCAACACTCTTCTGAGTTCAGGTTCCCCATGATCCGACCACTGTCGGTCTGAGATCAAGTTTCCCCCAACCTCGCTGCTGGCAGTGTGGCCTTAGGAAAGCTTCTCTCTTCTGCTCACCCGAGAATAGGTCAGAGCCATACCACACAACTCCCACTGCACGAGGCCTGCCCTTTGCTCCTGTCCTGCTTCTCTTCAAGATCTTGGCTCTGGCTGCCCCGCTCCCTATCCTCGCTCCTAGGACTCCATTCTTACCTCCTTAGATCCCACCTGCTATCAACCCAGAAGCCACCCCGAAGCCGCCAGACTGCTGGAATCCGCCACATTGCTTTGTCTAGTCCCAGCATAGCATATTCCAATCCCATCTGTTCTTCTCACTCGTTTTGAACCCATTATTCATGATTACCAAGGTCTTTCTCTACGGAGGATTTGTGGATCACGCTGGTGGTTTTTGTGCATTTTCCCCAACTAATGTTTGGATGAAGACACAGAATCCACCCCCTGCATTCTGCTGGGGTTCAAGCGAGGTCTCTCAGGCCCCTTATTTCATTCAGCAGACTGCTGTCGAACACCTACTCTGCTTGGTGCCAGGAGTTCCTGACATCAGATTACTTAGCAACACTTTTTTCTCAGCCCAGGAGGGACCACACATGCTAATGAGCCACTTGAACAGTGAGAGCAGGTCAGAGCTCGGGTTCTCACTGCTATGCCGTGTCCAGACGGCTTCCGCAGCTGTTGCTCCACTGATACGAGGTTTATCCTCACAAAGAAGCTCTGGCACATGTAGGGGGGTCCTACCCCAGATATGATGGTTTGGATGGCAAGTTTCTCTCTGTAGAAGTGGCCTCCATCCTTGCCAGCTGCCTCAGTTTACAGGGCATGGCTTAGCGTCCTCACCATGTTCTCCATATTAGAAGCAGAACCTACCCTGGGAGTCATGGCGGTTGTGGGAGCCAGCAATAGCCAGCATCCCCAGGCAGCTCCCGGAGCTGGTGAGAGATGCTGCCTTTGTTTCCCCAGGCATCAAGTGGAAGCCGGATGAAAACGGAGTCATTGTCTTCGACTGCAGAAACCGTGGCTGGTAAGTGCTCCCAGAGGAGGGGCACTGTGCCCCAGCATTTACCTTCCAGCCTGTGGGCTTGGCTTGGCTTTCTTGCTCCCCTCTACAGGGAGGCTTAAGGAGGGACTTTGGTGGCTTAATCCAAGCCAGGAATAGGAAGATTTGCTAGCTAGGCTCCTCATTCCCTCCCCACTGTCTCCAACTCAGACCTCCCTGCAGTCTCCCAAGCAGCTGCCTCTAGCTCTGCTCTTGCCAAACCCTTTCCCAGGTAGACCAGCTGTGTATCCAATCCCCCTCCTTTCCTGCTGCCAGACCCTCGGGGACCCTGGCTGCCCTCTGTCAAAAAGGAGGGGGCTTTCTTCCAATCTCACCACCCCAGTGAGCTCAGTGTCCAGGGGTTACAGCACACACTGGCCTAAACTTGGGGGAACCAAGTTTATTATGGGCCAGATCAAATAAATTCAACTGGAGGCTCCCAGCCAGAAGGCAATACCAGACTTAACATTAATTATAAATGCTCAGCCAATGGCTCAGGCTTGTTACTTACAGCTCTTACAACTTAGATTAACCCATTTCTATTAATCTACATTCTGCACATGATGCTAAAGGTACATACAAGCAGCCACCTCTCCCAAGGACATAGTGATTCTGGTGGACGTGAGCGGCAGCATGAAGGGGCTGAGGATGGCCATCGCGAAGCACACTATCACCACCATTCTGGACACCCTGGGGGAAAATGACTTCGTGAATATCATTGCGGTAATGGCGGCTTCCTGTTTGGCAGTTGCTCTCACCTGCTCTGGGAAAATATTCTTTTCCTGAACCAAAAGGGCTGTGTTTCCAGCCACGGGTGCATCCCACCATAGAGGGACACTGTTCTCCACACTGAAGACTCCTGAACTTGTGCTTGTACCCGCAGTCTGCCTTGGGGTGGCTTTACGAGTCCCTCAAACATCTGAAGTAATGTGTGAGTGTGCACAGCCCTCATTGAGGCCAAACGCTCCGTCTATTTGCCAGTGTCTGACACAGACAGAGAACCAGAGGCCCCAGCAGATCCTCTGTTCCTTCTGTGGGCTCCTGGTAGCATCGCTGCTGGCAGCCTCCCCATCCACACGGGGTCAAATGGGATCTTGGGCCCTTGACCTGTTAGGATTCCAGTCTCTCACTTTCCTTATCCCATAAGCCTAGACACGGAGGCGGAAAGGAGGTACACAGGAGAAAGAGGGGGTTGCTTAAAAATTCAACCATTAGGGGACCACTTGAGCTCCATGGAAGCAGAGTTGACAACCACTCTGGGGTGTTTAGAGAGGGCACTGATCCAAAATTCCTTCTCAGCCTGCATAGTTCCTAACATTTCTAGCTGTTAGTGGAATTTATATAGCGTGTAGACATGCTTGAGACAAAGGTGTCTTGTTTCAGCAGCATCCTGCTGGGGGATACAGACCCTGACTTGCTACCCAAGGCTCAGCTAGCCCATGGCAGCACTCAACCATCACACAGCCCAGAGCTGACTCCCACACTCATCCCAGGGTCTGCAACAACAAGATGGCCACAGAAACAGGTTCTATACTCTACCAGAGAGGGGAAGTGTGGTATCCCTCTAAGCCCGCAGCCCCTCCCTCCCATACTCTGCCCTGCTTCCTCAGAGAAACTCCCAGAAGGAACCCTGACTCCTGCATTCCCCAGTTCCCCCCACAGCTCTTCCATGATGTAGCTATGTGTCCTCTCTCTTTCCTCTTACGTCAGCAGAAGGAAGATTAGGGACCCTAAAAGTTTGTATTCTAACTGCGAGGGAGATAAAGAAAAGGGGGTGTTAGCAGTTCGTGTTTCTCCCTAGTCCCACCCCTGTGGATAACTAATGACCATCTACATGTATGCGAAGAACAAGAGTACATTTGTAGCTAGCTTGGTGGCTCACACCTATCATCTCAACATTCTAAACATTTAGCCAAAAGATTTAAATCCTAGGCTAGCCTGGGCTACATAATGAAAGCCACTATCAAATAAACAATAGCAAAAAGTAGTTTAGAGTTCCCTACCCCATCTGGGGAGGATCCTATGCAAGGGAAGCTCTGGGATTGGTGGACGGTGGCTTGGCTGGTCTGAGTGCACAAAGGAATGCCCCCTGGATGAGAGGTTCTCAGTACACCCTAGAAGGGGCACATTACATCGGAACCAGGACTTGGGGAGCAGTTTTAGAGTCAAGATCCTCTGCTTGCTCCGTTCAGACACCCCAAGACAGCACTGCCCATTTGCCCAGGTGAGACATTGTTTTCTATCTTCTTCACTGTGCCTTGCAGTACAATGACTACGTCCACTACATTGAGCCCTGCTTCAAAGGCATCCTCGTCCAGGCAGACCGAGACAACCGAGAGGTGAGCATCCACCACGAACAAAGCTCGAATCCAGGTGGGGGAGGTGTCTGGGAAGATTCTATATGGTGCTCTGCCCATCACATGGCCTCCGACAAGAACAAACCAAATCAGTGGTTACCCTGGACTGTCCACCTTCTGGTCAGTCTCATCCTCAGCCCTGCCATCTAGGAGGAGATAGGGATTGGTACCAAGCCTTTTGCACTTAGTTTATCTTTGGGCATTTAAGAAACACAGACTCAAGAGTATGTGGTTGGCTGTGCTGTGGAGCTCGGGTCTTGCATTTGACCCTCTAAGCCTCCTCTCATGTTTACCCTGACAGCATTTCAAGCAGTTGGTGGATGAACTGATGGTCAAAGGTGTGGGTGTTGTGAGCCAGGCCCTAATCGAGGCTTTCCAGATCCTGAATCAGGTACCTCGGGGGGGGGGGGGGGGGGGGGGGGGGGGGGGGGGGGGGGGGGGGGGGGGGGGGGGGGGGGGGGGGGGGGGGGGGGGGGGGGGGAGCCTGGGCAGGTGGAGGTAAAGGGAGGCCATTGCAAATGCAGGTTGTGGCTGTGGTGACAGCCTCACCCCTGCTCCCTCAGTTTCAAGAGTCCAGACGAGGAAGTCTCTGTAACCAGGCCATTATGCTTATCACCGACGGAGCCGTGGAAGACTATGAGCCTGTGTTTGAGAAATATAACTGGCCAGACCGCAAGGTAACTACCGCTGCAAGTCAGAGCAGAGGAGGCCTCTCCCAGTGCCAGGGGAGAGTTCTCGAAACCATAATAGTCTTACATGCAGCACAATCCCACGTTCAGAGTTCTTTCCCTTAGACCTGTTCACCAGGTCAGGTACATTCTAATTGGGTGTCCGAAAGTAAGCAACCTGGGCCGGGAGGAGGGATGCGGAAGGATGCAGGACAAAGGACCAGAGTGGTTTTGAGACATAAGAACTGTTCCGTGCTCACCCGGACCCTGGCAGTTCACGTTCTCACCAGGGCCTCTGGCTTTTCTCTGGCCCAAGAGGGTGCAGCCGGAGATCCCAGAAGAAAGACCTGCATGTAAGCCCATGATAAATGGCACCGATGCTGCCTGCAGCTGCTGAGTCCCTCTCTTGTGGACAGGTCCGAGTTTTCACTTACCTCATCGGAAGAGAAGTGACATTTGCCGACCGCCTGAAGTGGATCGCCTGCAACAACAAAGGTAAGCGCCGGCAAGAGAGAGACCTGCAGTCCGCGCTGAGCCAGCAGGATGGCAAGACTTCGGGGCTTATAGACATCCAAAACTAAGGGTGTACACAAGAGAGCTGTCTCCTCAAATAAAGCCTTGTACAAGTACATAACACAGAAGACAGAGCAGGAGGCAAGACTTCGGGGCTCATAGACATCCAAAACTAAGGGTGTACACAAGAGAACTGTCTCCTCAAATAAAGCCTTGTACAAATACATAACACAGAAGACAGAGCAGGAGGCAAGAGGGGACCCACACTTTTTTCTTTTTTTTAATTTTTTATTTAAATAGCATTTTTTTTATTTATTTTGCATACCAACCAGTTTCCCGTTCCCTCCCATTTTCCATCTACCCCACTCCCCATCCACTCCTCCTCCATCTCCATTCAGAAGGAGACAGGCCTCCCAGGAGCTTGCACAAAGCATGGCACATCAGTTTGAGACAGGACCAAGCTCATTCCCCTATATCAAGGCAAGGCCAGGTACTCCAGCATGGGGAACGGTTACCAAAAGGCAGTTAAGACGCAGGGAGAGGCTCTGCTCTCACTGTTGGAATCTTTACTCGAAGCTACACAATTGTCACACACTTGCAAAGGGCCTAGGTTGGTTCCATGCAGTCTCCCTGACTGTTGGTCTGGTGTCTGTGAGCTCCCATGAGCTTGAGTCAGCTGTCCCTGTGGGTTTCCCCATCATGACTCCCCTGGATGGTGCAATCCCTTCTCCCTTTCTTCTGCAAGACTCTCGGAGCTCAGCACAGTGCTTGTCTGTGGATCTCTGCCTCTGCTTCCATCAGTTACAGGATAGAGTATCTCTGATGGCGATTAGGGAAGTCACCATTCTGTTTCCAGTAGATGGTCAGTTCAGGCACCATCTCCACTATTGCTAGGAGCCTTAATTGGAGTCATCCTTGTGGGTTCCTAGGGATTTCCCTGGCACCAGTTTCTCCCTAACTCTGAAATGACCCCCTATTAAGTCTCTTTTGTTACTCTCCCCCTCCATCCGGCCTCCCACTTGCTTCCCACATGCAGCCTCCCGACCCAGTTCCCTCTAGTTCTCATTCCTCCATCCCCAACCCCGCCCCCAGTTTACCCAGAGATCTCCTCTAGTTCCCCTTCCCAGGGAAATCATGCATCCCTCTTTGTGCCCTCCTTGTTATCTAAACTCTCTGGGGCTGTGGATTGTAGGCTGCTTATCCTATACTGCTTTTCCCAATATCCACTTAGAAGTGAGTATTGTTGTACCCAGAGTCAATACCCACAAAGACCATCAAGAGACCTTATTTGATGCAAAAGCGTAGAGTCTTTTTTTAGTATACTGGCATGCTGGGACCAACAGTTCTACACAAAGGGAAGATGGCAATGACCCCAATCAGCCTGGACAAGTCCCAGGCCTTGTTCCTGAGCTGCTGTAGAGGCTGGCTCAGGCCTGGCCTGGCCTAGTACTGCATGCACCAGGCCTCCTCCTTGCTGTTGGGCGTGTTGGAGATTGACTGTCCTCTATTCATGGCTTTTCTTCAGAAGTTGCTTGTTCAGTTTCAGGAAGCTGAAACTGGGGCCTGAGAAAAGATGGAGCAGCCTGTTACAGCATCCGCTTGGCCCTGTCAAGTACACACCATTTTATCTTTCTGGCTCTGGGTAACCTTACTCAGAATGACTTTTACTAGTTCCATCCATTTGCCTGCAAATTTCATGAGGTCATCGTGTTTTACAACTGAGTGAAATACTCCATTGTGTATTTTCCTTATCCATTCCTTGGTTGAGGGACATCTAGGTGTTTTCAGGTTATGGCTATTACAAATAATTCTGCTATGAACATAGTTGAGCAAATGTCTTGTGGTATGATTGTGCATCCTTTGGGTATTTGCCTAAAATTGGTATAGCTGGGTCTTGAGGTAAATTGATTCCCAATTTTCTAAGAAATTGCCATACCAATTTCCAAAGTGATTGTACAAGTTTGCACTCCCTCCAGTAGTGGGGTGTTCTTGTTACTCGACATCTTCTCCACATAAGCTGCCATTGGTGGTTTTGATCTTGTCCATTATGGCAGGTGTAAGATGGAATCTCAGAGTTGTTTTGATTTGCATTTCCCTGATAGCTACAAATGTTAGACACTTCTTTAAATGTATCTCTGCCATTTGAGATTCTCCTTTTAAGAATTCTCTGTTTAGATATGAACCCCATTTTTAAAATGGATCATTTTATATTTTGATGTTTAGCTCCTTGAGTTCTGTATATATTTTGGAGATTATCCCTGTCAGACGTGGGGTTTGTGAAGATCTTATCCCATTCTGTAGGCTGCCATTTTGTCTTACTGACAGTGTCCTTTGCCTTACAGAAGCTTCTCAGTTTCAGGAGGTCCCATTTTATTAATTGTTGACCTCAGTGTCTGTGCTTCTGGTGTTAAACTCAGGAAGTGATCTTCTGTGCCAATGTTTTCAAGGTTTCCCCCACTTTCTCTTCTGTCAGGTTCAGTGTAACTGGATTTATACTGAGGTCTTTGATCCACTTGGACTTGAGCTTTGTGCAGGGCGATAGACATGGTTCTCTCTGTGTTCTTGTACACGCCGACATCCATTTGTGCTGGCCCCATTTGTTGATACTTTCTTTATTCCGTAGTATAATTTTGGCTTCTTTGTCAAAAATCAGGTATTCATAGGTGTGCGCATTTCTATCGGGAGACCCACATTTTAAATGTCAGCTCTCTCATGCCCCACCTTCATTCCTGTTGTGGCAAATTAAGGCATTGGTTCTGTTCAAAGACAAAGCAGGGGATCATCTTTTTTTCTCTTGTGTGTGTGCACACATTGAGGAAGTGCATGCATGTGTGTGTGTGTGTGTGTGCGTGTGTGGAGGCCAGAGGACCCCAGGAGGAGCTGTTTCTTAAGAGGGGCCTTCTATCTTGAATTTTTGAAGCAGGTTTTTCTTACCAGCTGAGCTAGTCAGGCTGACTGGGGAGTCTCGGGAATTCACCGATCTCTGCCTCCCCAGCACTGGCATTACAAAGGCAGGCCACAGCACACACCTTTTTACATGGATTCTGGGATGAGGCTTATGTCTTCATGCTTGGCAAGTGTTTTGCTGACTGAGCTATTTGCAGCCCCATTTTTTTTTTCATTTTTTTCCTTATTTATTTGTTGATTGATTTTTCTAAGGGAGGTTAAATTTTTTTTAATTTGACATTTATTTATTTATTTAGAGCACACATGTGCACGTGTGTGTGTGTGTTCCCATCTGTGCACATACCCAATCACATGTCTGTGATAAGGGTCAGAGGACAACCTGTGGAACTTGGTTCTCTCTTTTGACGACGCAGGCTACAGGAATTGAACCTACTAGGTTGCCAGACTTCTCGGCAAATGCCCCTATTTATTAGTTTTATGAGACAGGCTGTCACTGGGTATCCCAGCCTGACCTCAAGTCATAATGATCCTCCTGCCTCAGCCTCCCAAGTGCTGTGATTATATGTACAGGTGGCCACAACTAGCAGGTGTGGTATTTTCTCTAGAACAATATTTTGTGTACCAACGGCTCTCTTTTATCTGGGATCAGAACCCAAAACCTGGCCTTGCAATGCAATTTACTGAGTCTGTACTTGGTACCCGGTGCTGTTTGAAGGCTGTGGATTAAGAGTGATGAGGCAAGAGGGCTCAGTCTTGATCTTGGTGTAGCTGGCACATGGACTTCAGTTGAATATGATGGGAATGTGTCATGCTGGCACCAAGGCATAGGCCGGGCAGGGTGCAGGGAACAATGGGGAAAAATACTTTCCCAATCTAGGGATTATGAGGAAAGGTCTTGCACATAGAGGAAATGGCATTCTCTAGGAGTCTGAGGCAAGAGGCTTGGAAGGAAGGAAGCTGTCCCATTTTGCTGGCATATGGAATGAATGACTTGGGGGAGGTGATGGGCAATGAAACCCAAAGTTACTAAACCATTCACAGCCCTTTCCAATAGCACTGTGCCTACCCTGAAGAGAATAAAGCAGCCTGCTCCATAGCCTGAGCCTGCACCAGAGTCTTAAGGAGAATAAAGGTGAGGGAAACTGAGAGCTGAGGACGCAGGAGGACAGGAGGCACCATCTTGTTGGGGTCCCACTTCTCAGAGAGCGTAACAAGTGGGAGACTTGGTGGTACCACTGCTGCAGCTGAGGCCCTTGCTCTTGTCTGGGGAAGTGTTGGCAGTGAGAAGATCCCCCAAGATCTCCCAAGCGGGAGCAGGGCAGGCCTTTGTCTTATACTGGGGAACAATGCATGGCCTCCAAAAAGTAGAGCGGCCCAGCTAGGGCTACCCAGCAGCTGGGAGTGTGCATAAGCCCTATGCAGAGACCAAGTGGGACATGTCCTTTGCATCCCATGATCACACAGCCCTGCCCCCTTCAGGCTACTACACACAGATCTCCACACTAGCCGATGCCCAGGAGAACGTGATGGAGTACCTGCATGTGCTCAGCCGTCCCATGGTCATCAACCACGATCATGACATCATCTGGACAGAGGCGTATATGGACAGCAGGGTGAGCGTAACGATGGCTCCGGGTTGGCAGGGGGGCCAGAGTTTAGGGAAGGAGCAAGAGGTGACTTCTTGGTCAGGAGAGGCCAGGATCCTCAGGAGGACTCATGAAGGGTGATAAAAACCATCCATGCCCTCCTTCCCCTAGAAGCCCTCATCCCACCACCAGCTTTGTGCCCAGCCGTCCTAAATGTTCACACAACGGTTCACCATCCTGCAGCTTCATTCTGGCACTTCCTGGTTCATTGTCCTGAAGAAGCAATGCCTTACACGGAGGGGAAAATATCAAAGATATGAGGTCATGGAGGATGTTTGGGTGAGGAGACCTTCCTGCCTCTTCCCCAGATCGCATCCTGTATGGAGCCCCTGCCTTGGTGACAATATACAGACTAGGATTACTCACAACAGTGGCTTAGATAAGACAAAGGTGGAGACGACTCTTAGACATTTTGGTGGGCATCGCAGAGCTGATGAAGCTTCTGGACACAGGGACCCAGGCTCCTTCCTGCAGCCATTTTTACTCTCCAGGCCGAGGGTCCTCTTCCTCCTGGTCCTAGAGGCCAGTGGTGCAGGGTCGTGCTTAGCCATCTAAAGGGGATTGCTCAGGGGCCTCCTGGCTCAGGCACTTCCTTGCCTCTTATTGACCAGAACTCAAAGGCAGAGGTGGCTGGGACAGCACGCTTTCAGCTTTTCATCTTCCCTTCTCTGTGTCTAAGGATAGGGGCACGCTTATTCTAGCGAGTAGCAGAAGATAAAAACCACCTTGCCAACCTGGGGACAAAAGCCTCAGAAGTCCATTCTAATGTCCCTGTATAGTAAGAGGAGCACCTGACCAGCTCGAGTGGGCTCTTCCCTGAGGCACTGCCCAGGAGATGCCATCTGTCCCACACTGTCGGCCACAGGGAAGAGCCTTGTCCATCTAAGTAGGTGACCCTCTATTGTCTAGGTGGTCAATGGCCACAGGCTGTGTGCCCCAGGATGGAGAAGAGGGAGAGGGGCAAAAGGAAGGCAAGAAAAGAGGCTCAGATCTGCTTCAGCGTTGTCTTGACTCCCCCACGTTGCGTGCTTACACTCGTTCATTCTTGCTTGTTCCTCTTCTGTCCATCCATGCCCTCCAGCCCATGCCCACCACGTGCTCCCTGTGCCTCTCACACATAAGAATATTAAGGCCATGCTGAGGATCTGGTGGAAGGAAGTCTGAGGACTTGAAACACAGCAAAAGGGAACTGAGTTGTGAATAGTGGTGGCCAAGCCACACCTAGGTAGTAGTCGAGCCTGAGTTTAGCAGAGACCCAGGAAAGAGAGGACAGCGGTGGAGACAAAGCCTCTTTGCTAAGCTGCTGTGCAAAGGGTTTTTGCACACCGCGGCTCACTCCTTCTCTGCTCTCCTGCCCCAACAGCTCTTCACCTCAGAGGCACAGAGCCTGGTGCTCCTGACCACGGTGGCCATGCCAGTCTTCAGCAAAAAGAACGAGACGGTGAGTGACTGCTCCCCACGCCTCTGCACGTAGCTTAGATCCCAGACCTCTGAGTTCTATAGCCAGCTGCAAGGGTTGGGTACAGATTCCCGAGCTCAGTCCTGGGGAAGCCATGCAAGAACCTCCTGGTCAACTGTGGAGCTGAGAGTCCGTGCTTTCCCAAAGCTCCCAGCCTCAGCCAGGGGAAGGAAGGAGGGGGTGACTGCCACCTGCTCTGTTCTTAAAACAGAAGGCTATGGGATCTTCTGCTAGCCTTCCAGATGAACCACACTTAACTAGCCAAAGTGGGTAGATTCTGCTTGTACATGAAGGCCTCTAAGTGAGGGAATTTCCAGAGCTCTCTATAGTCTGTTTGGTCAGAAAATACTTCCTTATGCTTGTGATAGAGAGAGGCAATATAAGCTATGGTTCTTATAGTCCGTCCTCCGCTGTGAATATTAATATTTCACTTAGCTTTGTATTTCATTTAAATGTCACTACTTAAATATTAATGCAGGGCATTAATCTTCCTAACAGCTGAGCTTGCCCCTGGGGCCTCCTCTGACAGTCTACATTTTTATCTGGGGAACTCAGCCTCCAATGCAACTGCAAAGGAACATCAGTAAAGCCCAGTTTTTCTGACCCTTGCATTTTTCCTTCTAGCGATCCCATGGCATTCTCCTGGGCGTAGTGGGCTCTGACGTGACCCTAAGAGAGCTCATGAAGCTGGCACCCCGATACAAGGTGAGCCTGAGGGGGATCCTGGAAGGGTGAGCCAGAACTTCCCATTGTTGGGACAAGATAGCTGAGAAAATCGGCTTAAATTCACTGGAGCTCACATTTCTGTGGCTGCAGTCCATGGTGGCTTGATCAGAAACCAGTAGGGGACACATATGATTGTGTTTAAAACCCACTGTGTTGGAAGAGAGCCACTTGTTGGTTCCTGGCCACCTGGCCAACTTAGACCCAAAATAATCACACAGAAACTGTATTAATTAAACCACTGCTTGGCCCATCAGCTCTAGCTTCTTATTAGCTAACTCTTACATATTAATTTAACCCATTTCTATTAATCTGTATATCTCCATGTGGCTGTGGCTTACCGGGTAAAATTCCCAGCATCTGTCTCCAGTGGCTCCATGGCTCCTTTCTAACTCCACCTTCCTCCTCCCATGTTATAGGCCAAGCCAGTTTCTTTATCCATTAACCAATAAAAGCAACACATAGACAGAAGGCCCTCCCACACCACCACTGCTAGGATCTGCTGTCTTCAGTCATTCCCTTCCCCAACCCCTACCCCACCTAGCCATCCAATGCATCTAATGCCCTCAACCCTTGGCTTTGGCAGCTTGGGGTACATGGATATGCCTTTTTGAATACTAACAACGGCTACATCCTCTTTCATCCTGACCTCCGACCTTTGGTAGGTACAGATCTTTGCCTTGAGATTCTAACAATATGAGATTTGGGGACAGTTCACAAAAATGGCTAAAAAATCATTGGCCAGTCCAAGAGAAAAATGAATGTCATTGTACCTGTTCAAACTACTTATTATCTAACAGGATGTACATGGGAAAAAAAAAACACGTGAAACCACACCATAGAGCAGAAATGCAGACTGGGATTGTGAAGATGGAGCCCTGATTTCTGTTACTGAAATGAACATCTGAGATCACCACCTTACAAAGAAAGAACCACGTCAGTCCATGGCTGGTTGAACCTCTTGTTTTATGGCGTTGTGGGGTGCATGCAGCATAGCATGATGGGACCATGAGACAGAGTAAACCTGTTGACCCCAGACAATAAAATAAGAGAGACTTCAGTCCCATAACCCTCTTGAAGGACATTAAACCCCGGACTAGGCTTCATCTCCAAATACCTTACCATTTTCCAACTGTGCCATGCTGGAATCCAGACTTCTACATAGAGATTTTGGGGAGCTGTTTAAGAGCCAAACCATGAGGGAGAGATGGCTCAGCAGTTAAGAGCACCTGGGTTCAGTTCCCAGCACCCTTTTCAGCCAGCTCATAACCCCCTTTAGCTCCAGTCTCAGGGGATCCCATACCTGTGGCCTTCATGGGCACCTGCATTCATATTTACATACCCACATGCAAATACACACATACACTTAATTAGGAAAAATAATAAATCTTTTTTAAAAGCCTAATCACTGCAGACGTCTATCACAGATAAACTGTCCCAGTGAGTCCATCCCTCCTACAACCCACAGATGGACCATCAGAACCCCAGAGGACCGGGAAGGGATTGTAAGCAATGAATTCACAATTAAAAATAGCAAGGCCCTCTAAGAAGGGCGGTGAACTGTCCCCTGAGCTTACCTTTTGATGCTTCCCAGAGCCCCTGTACCCTTCGGACTTTGTCCGGGAGCTGTTGGTGTTTTCGCGTGAGTTCCCCTGAGTACCTAGTATCTGAAAACACTGCCTCTGGGGCATCCACACTGTCCGTAGTAGCAATGACCACATGGCTGGTATGATGGCTGGAGAGGTAAAAGGAGCTGGAGTCCTGGAGGCATCTTAAATCTGCTCCTCTTCAGTCTTCTAAGGAACCCCAGGGGAGTCTTGGGTAGCAGGAGAATTGATGAAGGGGCTTCTCTGCCCCAGGAGTCATTTGGGAGACTCCCTGAACCATGGCGCATGTCAGTTAGCTCAAGTGGATACAGAATATTTCCTAAGACATTTGACCGAGCCACTTAAGGCCCATGGTAAGGCTCCTATGGGGACACATTGTTCCTTTCCCCTCTGTCTTTCCAGGTCAGACTCAGCAGGGCCTATAACTGAACCAATGGATGGTCTTATACCAACAGGTTCTTGGGGACTGGTGCTATCAAATGACTCGCAGTGAGAGAACATGTAGGTTGATCCCAGAGCTGACAGATAGAATGAAGAGGCACGGACCAGAAACCCACCTATCAGCATCCATCTAGGCAACTCACACGAATAATGCTCTCACCAGCCAATCATGTTGTGGACCTACTGTGTGCCTGATTTAACTGTGCTAGTTAGAGTCCTGTAAACATAAGGACACATCTAATTAAGAAAAGAAAAAGCATGAAGGCACATGGCAGGCAGTGCTTACCAAAGGACGCAGTAAGATTAGTGCCATGTACTCTATAAGGAAAGCGCTATCAGGCAAGCAAAAGGTACAATTTTAGAAATCAAAATAATAGAGGATATTCCTAACAATAGAATAAAAGAGGGGCAAGAGGCAAGCCGGGGCTTTTCTGTGTCAATGGCCTAATCAGATGTAGTTACATATTATTCAGAGAGGCTGAGGACTGACTACCATCTGCCAGGTGTAGTCAGGACTTAGGAAATGCACTGGACTGTTCCCGAAAAGTAGCTCAGGCATAAGAGGGCAGGGCAGCGCTGTGTGGTGAGCGTGGACGTCAGGAAGACATCTGAGAGCAGAGCATCGTGTGGGCGATGGGTACGGAGGCAAGGCGAGTAGGGACAGTGTTGGGACAGCCATGCTACAATCAGGACAGAAAAAATAAAACGCACGTACACGAAACAACTAGCAGAAGCAAGACAAGCAATGACAGGAACTCCGCCTCCCGGACATCTACTCGGGACCCGCTTTCAGGAGGAGAAGGCTCTGTTTTTAACGTGCTCTGATGATAAACTCCCCTTTACTGATGGCTTTACTAGGCTAGACCAGGGAAGTACCACAGGCGTAATTATAGACAACTGATGGCATCTGTCACAAAGAAAGGGTACGAAAGCAAGAAAACGAGAGAGCGCGAGAGGGAGAAAGAACAAGAGGATGACGCCCCGTGCAGAGAACTGGCTCATGGATCTGTGTCAAATTTTGGAGCCAGGTGGTTATTAAGCACTGTTGATCTGCCCTTGGACCTGACCAATTAAAATAAATCTATCAAGATGAAATGCTCCTGCAGCTGCCTTAAAATCTGGAAGAGAAAACTGACTGCTCAGAAAGTATTCTAAAATGATCATCTGAGATTAACAAGATGGAATATATGAGAAATAGGTGGGCGCTCGCAAACTGAGCACCCTCGTGTGGGAGGGAGTGCGCCGCATGAGAACACCGAGGGGATTCGCCTGGCTAATGGCGCCATCTGGGCTGCCAAGCTGGCCTGGCCGTCCAAGCCGCCAACAGAGACAGTCAGAGCTGTACTGTGTTTCAGTCCACACAGCGTACCTCTCACCTCCTGGCCAGACTCCGTGGGCAATATTGATTTCTTCCCTGGCAGCTCCGTTTTCAGGGTGACATTGACAGAGCTGAGCATCGCTTCAGAGAGCTGAGATATTTTCAGACTGAATGTTTAGCTGAGACAGTCAAGATTGAGCATCCCAAGCTCTGTCGGGAGGAACACATTCTGGGCGGTTCCAGAAGAAAACTGACAGCAATAAGTGAAAGTTCGGAGACAGATTTGAACTCCACGGGAGAGAGAACATCCTAGCAATGAGGGCTGTCCAAACTGTGACATGCTGTCTCACAAACTAAGGAGATCCCTGGCATGAGAATGTGCTACGCTCAGGAGGCCGGAGGCCATCTGGGGCACACACTGGCCGGAGCAGTTTTACACTGAGTAAAAGTTTGGCCTGGGTCATCCTGGGAGATCATAGGATGCTTTGATTTTGTGAGGGTGTTTGAAAGATTTTAGAGTGGAGGGAACAGGGTAAATGCTGACCCCGCCTTTTCGTCCCATCTGGCCCACTCCAGTACAGAGACGGCAAGACAGTGAGACCCAAACCCAACTACAACAGCGTGGACCTCTCGGAAGTGGAGTGGGAGGACCAGGCGGAAACCGTGAGTCGGGAGACAGGTGTCATGAGATGTTACTCACCCAGTGAGCCCTGTAGCCAGTGAGTAAGCCCTGGGGGGATGGGGATGCTGAGGCTGCTGGACAGCTCTGGAGCAGAGCCTTTGGCTCTGTGCCTGCCATTCTTCCAGCAACTAAAGATGTCACAGGGTGACTGAGAAGGACTGAAATTGTGCCTGCAAGCCCAGCATGGGCTTGGTGTTGTGCTTAGCTTCCAGTTTCTCTATCACACCCAGAGGAGATTATGTCTCAGCAACACAACACTGTATCCCAGAACATCCATCCCTTCAGTGCGCTGCCTCCATGAAAGCCCAGAATTGTGAGCCGGAGGTGCCTAGACCCAGGCCCATCTCACCTCCTAGAACTCTGCTCAGAGGAAAACAGAAAAACTAGTATCCTAGGGATCCTAAGACGGGGTCAAAGCCCCAAATCTCCCTTCTTCAGGTGAACAGGCACCAACTCTCCTTTCTTTCCTCTTAAAGCTGAGAACTGCCATGATCAACGGGGAAACGGGTTCACACACCATGGATGTGAGAGTGCCGCTGGACAAAGGGGTAAGGAATGAGGGACAGTGCCCATGAGGTCCCAGCAGGCAGCACAGAGCCCGGACCTAGATTTTACTGTGGCTTTGGGAGTGTGAGGAGAGAGAGAAGGTAGAGGCAGGGTAGGAACGGTGCTGTTGATTTCATTGATGCTCTTTTATGTTTGTTTGTTTGTTTGTTTTTATTTCTTGAAATGGGGTTTTTCTGTGTAACAGCTCTGGCTGTCCTGGAACTCACATTGTAGACCAGGCTGGCCTTGAACTCACAGAGATCCGTCTGTGACGCTCCATTGCGGACAATGAGGGCTGCTGAGAAGCCAAGGACAATGGCACTGGGTTTTGATCCTACTTCATGTTCTGGCTTTGTGGGAGCCTAGCCAGTTTGGATGTTCACCTTCCTAGACCAGGATGGAGCGGGGAGGACTTTGGACTTTCCACAGGGCAGGGAACCCTGACTGCCCTTCAGACTGGAGAGGGAGGGGGAGAGGAGTGGGGGGAGGGGGAGAGGAGAGGAAGGAGGGGGGAAAGGGAGACGGGGAGGGAAATGGGAGGCGGGGAGGAGGCGGAATTTTTTTTTTCAATAAAAAAATTATATTAAAAACAAAGAAACCACAGAGTAGGGAAGTTGTCCGGGTGGGTCCCTCGCAGCTCTTCCTTCTTCCCTCCACTGCCTGCTATTTGGCCCTGTGGTTGTTTGTGATAGAAGGGGAGAACGTGACAGTTAATTTTGCAAACTGCCAGCAGCTCTGCTAAAACATGTCACATGGGGAAAGGCTGGAAAGGCTCACCGCTCCTTATAGCTGACTTTGTTCAAACACAGAGTGTGGAAACGAATACCCTCACTATAGAGAGTCAAAATCAGAAACCCCCACTATCTGTATAGGCCTGTGTGTCATCCGAAAAGACACTTCATCTTCTCACTTAAAAGGCTCTGATGAGTCCTCTGAATTTGCATCGTCCCTTGACATATTAGCAAATGTCACCTCCTCCTATGCAACCACCCCCACCACCTCCTTCATTACCCACCTGCCTCCGCTCAAAGAACACAGCATCTGTCTGCAGCAACTAGACCCGAGTCCTCCACTGTACTCAGCTCTCCGCAGAGGCCAAACTGAGAGGTGCTGGCCAGTGTCCCTTCTAGACAGGGACACGGTCTCCAACAGGACTGCTGTGGGACTTCTGCCTCATCAGACACACCGGGAATGTCAGTAAAGCCAGGTCACCACTGATAACAAAAGAGTCATGGTTCCTTCCCTGTGCCTTCAACATGCCCTACAACCTCTGCCAAGGTACAGCGTGCCAGGACATTGAACCTAGCATGAAAACCCTAATGTGCGCATGGCCACTCAACAACCATAACAGTTGTGCCATGTCCAACGCATTGGTACACCCAGTGGGTGAATGTGCGCTCGCCCTTTCTCCCAGGGCCCGGAGTTATCTCCAGGCCTCTCCATCCTTCTCAAAGCCACCAGGCAGGGTCCTAACCGGGAGCAACAGAAACTTCTTCCTGCCTGGGAAATTTGTTCATTGCTACAATAAACCATTTCAGTGTATCAAGACTTTCTGAAGCATGCGGGCATCAGAGGAGCAGGATGGTGGTGGCGATGGTAACTGGGGTGCCGGCTTCTTAGGACACAGATGTCCTGTCTTCCCATTGCTAACACCACCGACATTGGCAGTCTAGATTTATCAGAAGTCAGACTGAGCACAGTACAGACGCCCATTTATTCAGCCACCCTACAGAGGCCGGTTTCATATCCTCTACATCTTGCGGATGGAGACATCAGAGAAGCCTGAAACTAGCCTAGGACTATGGAAAATCACAGGTTCTAGACTTCAGGACTTTGAGCTCTGTTTGCTTGGAGTTCCAGCCTCAAAGACTTCTTCGAGTGTCTAGAAAAACATTTCTTTTCTTAAATTGGATTATGCAGCAACAGTTTTCCTTATGCCACTTCCTGCGTGGTTCTAGTTGGTCCTCCCCCCACTCTCCCTCCCTCCATCTTCCCATCCTCCCCCCAGGGCTCCCTTCCACTTCTGTGTTACACTTGTCCCACCGCTCTCCTTTAAAGTCTTCTTTCCTCTTCCATGAGCCCCTTTCTGGTTTCCTAGCCTCTACACACACTTGCTCCCACATAGATACATATGTGTGTGATACATGTATTATATAATTATATGATATATATGTGTGTGCGTTACATAATTATATAGGTCATATACACTTACATAATTAGAAGCTAGGACCCACGTGTGAGAGAAAACACAGTGCTTTCCTTTCTGGGACTGGGCTACCTTACTCAGTACATTTTCCAGCCCCATCCTGCCCCTTTCTGGCTAGTTCCATTCCTTCCCCGAGACCCCTCCCTATCTGCTTCATATCACACGTATCCCATGATCCTCTTTTCCCTCCTCTGCCATGCCGCCCATCCCCTGGTAACTCCTTTTCAAGTTTCATAACTTTCGCACATGGATACATAAATACACACATTTGTATAGACACCCACGCGTCGTTGTAAATCTACATCCCACACGAGTGAAAACATGGAGTGTTTGTCTTCCTTAGTCTGCCTTGTTTCACTTAACATATGATCTCCACTTCCAATCATTTTCCTGCAAATGTCATGACTTGACTTTTCTTTTGAGGAGTTCCAAAACTTCCCTGTGTCTGTGTGTGTGCGTGTGTGTGTGCGCGCGCGTGCTCTGCCTGTTTTTAAATCATTCATCTGTTGATAGATATCTAGACTGATTCATTTCTTAGCTGCCATGAACAGAGCAGCAATTAACAAAGAAGGATAGGTAAACTTGTGGGGTGTTGCCTTAGACTGCCCAGGCACGCACCCAAGAGTGTCCTGACTGGGTCATATGGCGGTCTTATGTTTCGTGGTTTGAGAAACTGTAAGGTTTGTGTTTGTCTTGAAATGCCCTTATGTCTCCATCAACTTTTAAAGACATCTTTGCTGGACACAGCAATCTTAGTCAGCAGGTCTGTATTCTCAGGGCTCAAATACATTATTGCATCTTTTCCTGGCACTGAGAGCTGCTAAAAATAAGCCTGATGCTTCTTTCTTTGTTGATGTGTTAGATGTTTTTCTCTTACTGCTTTTAGTTCATTTATTTTATTTTATTTTTAATTATGTGTATGTTCCTGGGTAAATGTACAGACGTGCACGTGTCCTGGGAAAACCAGAAAGGAATTTTAGATCCCCTGGAGCTGGAGTTACAGAAGATTGTGGGCTGCCATGTGGGTGCTAAGAATCAAACCCAAGTCCTCTGCAAAAACAGTGGGTGTTTTTGACCACTGAACCATCTCTCCACCCCCTCTCAAAGTTCTTATTATTGCTTCTGTGGGAGTTTGGATGTAATTGGCCCACCTAATCTCATAGGAAGTGGCACTATTAGGAGGTGTGGCCTTGTTGGAGGAAGTGTATCTCTCTGAGGGCAGACTTTGAGGTTTCCTATGCGCAGGTGACTGCCCAGCGTCTGTCTCAGTCGGCTTCCTATTGCCTACAAGACCATAAGCCTCTCAGCTATTTCTCCCACACCTCATCTGCCTGCATGCCGTCATGCTCCCTGCCATGATGATAATGGACTGAACCTCTGAAACTGTAATCCAGCCCCAAATAAGATGTTTTCCTTTATAAGAGTTGCCATGGTCATGGTGTCTCTTCACAGCAATGAAAACCCTAACCAAGACAGCTCCTTTGCTTTTTATTTTTGACTTCCTGTCTGTAAAATGCCATGTGTCATAGTGAAGGTCTTCTCTGGTCATGTCTGTTTGGGGTTCTAAATGCCTGGTGTGTTTAGGTATCTATTTCTTTCTCTAAATCTGGGGAGGAGCTGTTCTGTTATAATTCATTAAATAAATGTATTATCTACACCTTGAGTGTTTAGTCTAAGCTCTTTATTCTGCTGGAGCTTCTTAGGCTTGGTGCCTTAAATAGATCCCAGAGTTCTTGGGAGTTGTGATCATATTCACTTTTATCCTTAGTAATGTTTAAATGTAGGGGTTCATCAACCTTGTCCTGCACCCCTGCTGTTTTTTCTTCTATGTATCTATTGCTAATGTTTTCCACTGTGATTTTTTTATTTGATTCATTAAGTTCTTAGTTTGCAACTTTTCTAATTTCTTTTACGACCCAATCTCCTCGCTGCCCTTTTCTCTTTCATTCTGAAGACTTTCTCATGTTTGTCTTCTGACTTCTCTCTCTAGGTTGCTGTCTTTTTTTATCCAGGTCCTGAACTAAATTAATTTGATGATTTATAGCCCATTTCAGGTCCCGTTCAGTGTTTATTACTTTATTTGTTGGCAGTTTTATTCTGGCCACATTCATCCCTCTGTCCTTTCTCCACCCTCACCAACACTCCCCACACACACACCAAGCTCTCTGTCTCACTTTTCTGGCTTTTTGGGTTTGCTTTGTGATCCACTGGGTTGATCCAGGGCCACTCATGTGGGGTTAGATGTAAACCTACCCACTGGCAGATGAGTAACTCTCCAGTGGCTCTGTCACCGAAGAATTGTCTGCCCCCAGCAGCCACCGGCTGCTGTTGGTTTTCTTGGTGGGGCAGGGACAACTGAGCTCTTCACCCTCTGTGAATGTGTGAGTCTAGTCTTGTACCACGTGAGAGCCACAGGTCTACCAGTGCCAACACATAGCGTGTTCTATTTTTTGTTAAGTTTTCAGGTTTATTTTCTAACAAGTTTTCCAACTCTTGCTCTCTTTTGATAAAACTGTGTGTCACACTAGACAACAAACCCACACGCGCATTCTTATTGTCAAAGGGGAAACAAAAACCCGCATCCCAGGGAAATTTTACATTTCAGTGAGTTACGAAGCAGCGTGGTGACATTCCGGGCCTACCAGTGTGGGAACAGCAGCATTGACTTGGGCGGGAAGCCAGGCTGGTGTCGGGAAAGGGCTTGGTGCTCAAGGCCAACTGGGCTCCTTGCTTCCTCTCTGATATGAGGCAGACACTTGAAGACCGTCAGCTGCCACTGAAGAACTAGACATCAAGAGCTCCAGAGATCACAGTAGGGACGAGAAGAAACCTGAACATATCCTGTACCCCCAATCTCACCCAAGACAGCTGTCTCATTGGTTCCATAATTGCAGGGAAGGCATGCCAGCCAGAACAGGAAATGACTGCATACAGAAGCAGAGAGGATTGTCTAGATGAAGTTTTCCCATGGATATGTCAGTGTGTGGTTGTCCTGGTTACCTTATCTGAGGTGGGAACCCCATCCTAAAAGTGGGACGCACCACCCCCTGAGTTTGAATTCCAGGCTCTAAGAGGGAAAGAGAAGGTGGCCTGAGCACCAGGCAGACACGCATTCGCGCTCTCTCTGCTGCAGCTGACTGGGTATAACTAGCTGCTTCAAGTACCTGCCACCCTGAACAACCACGGGCTATGACCTGGCATTGTGAGCCTAACTAAACCCTTTCTTCCCCTGTGGCTTTTGTCTAGGTGTTTTATCACATAAACATAGAGAAACTAGGACACTGTGTTCTGCCCGGGCAGCACCCTTTCCCTGTTTAAACCTCGCCATCCTCCATATTCTCTCTATTTTCATGTCATGTGTGCCCTGCCACCTGCATCCTCCTGGGCATTCTTTTAAGTTGGAAGAATTATGTTATTGCTGCTTCAGTCTTGCTGCTGACTACAGGTCTGTTTACATTATTTATTTCATCTTGGTTTAATTTTGGTTGGTCATATGCATGTAGGATCTCATCCATTTATTGTAGATTTTCCAGTTGTCTAGAATCTGTGTTTTTAGGGTGTGCTCTGAGGGTGTTTTGAATTCCTCTGGGGTCTGTTGTTGTGTCTCCCCTTCCATCTCGAATTTTGTGAATGCGGGATATTCTCTTTAATTCTTTATTTTGGATAATTTGGCCCAGCTTGTCAGTCTTGTTTCTCTTTTCAACGAATCAACCATTCATTTCATTGGCTCTTTGTGTTGTTTCTGTTGTTGTTCCTTCTAGTTCATTTCATTTCTGTCTTTGTCATAATTATTTCTCCTTATTCACTGCTTTGGAGTTTGGTTTGTTCTTTCTTTCTTTCTTTCTTTCTGTTTGCTTTGTTTTTCAATGTAGCCCTGGTTGTCCTGGAACTCACTCTGTAGACCAGGCTGGCCTCAAACTCACAGAGCTCCACCTGCCTCTGTCTCTCTAGTACTGGGATTAAAGGTGTGTGCTTCCACCACCTGGCTGTTTTTGTTTTTCTAAGTCCTTAAAGTACATCATTACGTTATTTGAGTTCTCTCTGACTTTATGTGGGTACTTTGCTTTTAAGACTTCATTGTGTCCCATAGCTTTCTGTGTGTTTTCCTGTTTATTCCATTCTAGATTTGTTTTTACTTCTTACTTGATTTCTTGAGTGATCTATTTGTCATTCACCAGTGTGCTGTTTCATATCCATGCATCTGTGTGCTTTCCACAGTTTCTGCTGTTATTGCTGTCTAGCTTTATCTCATTGCCATAGAAGCTGTAGGCTTATTGTAGGGGCTGTGGGCTTTTCGTGCAGGCTGTGGGCTTGTCGTGGGGGCTGTGGGCTTGTTGTGAAGGCTGTGGGCTTGTTGTGGGGCTGTGGGATTGTCATAGGAGCTGTGGGCTTGTCGTGGGGGCTGTGGGCTTGTTGTGGGGCTGTGGGATTGTCATAGGAGCTGTGGGCTTGTCGTGGGGGCTGTGGAATTGTCATAGGAGCTGTGGGCTTGCCATGGGGGCTGTGAGCTTGCCATAGGGGCTGTGGACTTGTCATACAGGCTGTGGGATTGTCGTGGGGGCTGTGGGCTTGTCATGGGGGCTGTGGGCTTGTCATGGTAGCTGTAGGCTTGTCGTGGGAGCTGTGGGCTTGCTGTAGGGTCAGAACTGCTGACTTTCCTCAGGTTGGCCCTCCAGCTGTGATTTCTGCCCCACCTCCAACCATCCAAGCCCCCACCTCCACCTCCCACCCCACACCCCCGTGAGCACACAACTGAGGCTGCGTGCTGCTGGCGTCTGTCCTTTTGCTTCCTGGGTTCCCTCTCATTCACTCTTTGGAATAGCATCTATTTTTTTCTAGCAGTTTTTCTAAAAGTTAAAGAGGTACGGTCAGGAGAACAGTGTCCCTCTCTCCTCCGGGAAGATATGAGTCAAATGTACACACCCCAGCTCTAGATATTCCCAGCCCCAGGGTCACCTCATTGTCCTGAAGAAAGCCTAGACTCACGCTGCCTGCAGGGTCCAGCACAGCAGTCAATGGATCATCTGAATTACGTGGATGTTGATTAAAAATGATTAATATCTTGCAAGTGCTGAGCTGGCTGCACAGGCTGGGCAAGCCTGGATCTTAGAGGCAGCAACAAAAGGCCGGTTTGCTGAGCTGTGAGCTGTTTCTGGCCACGAGTGTCCATAAACAGGGTTGAGATGGCTGAGGAGTGAGGTCTGCAAAGGGTACAGCGAGATGACCAGCAACCAAGGGTGTGGGTGGAGGGCAGGAGGCCAGCACCACTCTGGCACCTAGCCAGGACCCTTTTCTTTTGCTCTCAGAAGCGGGTTCTGTTCCTGACCAATGACTACTTCTTCACGGACATCAGCGACACGCCTTTCAGGTGAGGGAGTAATGCCACACGAGCCAGGGCGGGAGACAGAGCGGAAATGCCACCGGCTCATGAGGGTACTTTCGGGTTTGAGAGCCGATTCTTTCTTACCAACTTAGCAATTCTGTGCTATAAGCAACAGATCCTAGTCAGTTAGCATTCAGGAAAGGAGCTCTAGATGGGCTTTGCCAGCTTGGCTAAATGTCCAGTTCTGAAGCCCAACTTTGAGTTTGAATCCCAGCTCCCCGACTTACGGCCTTTGTGGCCTGAGTCAAGGCACGTGACATCCTCAGATGTCATCTGTGAAATGTGAGTGATGGGGATAGCAGCTGCTTCCGATCGAGCGGAGGTTGACATGACACACTCTACATAGATGGCCGTGCGGGACGGGAGGAAGAGTTCTAAGGTTCCCTCCTGTCATTTCCTGGTGCCACTCAGGTTCCCTCCTCTCACCACCCACTAGAATACCTGAGGACGTCTCAAGATTGCCAATGGCTAGGCCCATGCAAACCAACAGTGTTGGCACTGAGGCAGAGCCCAGGTGCCACACCTCTGAATGCTCCCCAAATTCAAATCTAATGTGCTACCAAGAGATGGGGTTCAGTAGGGAAGGAGCCTCCTCAGGAAATCCTGAGAGCCACAAACATTTCAGGGTCCCTGGAAAATCAAGTACTTCCTTACTCCTTAAGTATCCAGGGAGCCCCAGAAACCATGGTCTGTGTCATGTCCAGGGCTTTTCCTGGGAAGAATGACTGATAAACTACCAGTCCCTTCCTGGTTCCCAAGGAGACAACCTGTGAGACCAGGCTAAAGGGGAGAGCTAGAAAGGTGGGCCATTGCCCTGTGTCCAAAGGCTCCTTGAACAAGTAGCGAGAGCGGATGCAGCAACTGTGCACACAGCCGCCCTCTCTTCTCTCTAGCTTGGGAGTGGTGCTGACCAGAGGCCATGGGGAATACGTCCTCCTGGGAAACACGTCTGTGGAGGAAGGTAGGTCACACCGTGTGCTGACTGTGGTGTGGTGTGTGGTAAGGGGAGTCACTCTCCCGGGTTGCTGGGCAGGGTCAACCCAGGGTGGACTCAGGGTGAGCATTTCACGCCAGACGAGGTGGCAGAGAAGGGCCTCACCCCTATCCCAGTCCCTGAGCCGACCTAACCTCAGCTGTTTGCCCACGGTCTCTGCCTGTAATTTCCCAAAGCTTCATTGAGCACCTACTTATGCTCGAGCTCCGGGAGCTCACTCACTCATTCCATCGGCAAGTGCACTAAGTGCGCAGTCAGATGGGCCAAGAGCCCAGCGAGGCTCCAGAGCTCACTCGGCAGGCACAGCCCACCAGGCTCATCTCTAGCTGGCCATTGTCACGGCCATGTGTGATAAAATCAAGGAAGACAAAATCACTGCTTTCCAGGTGTTAGCTCCTCGAAGGCAGGCATTAAGAGGGCGGGGCTTGCAAGACACTGGTATCTAAAGAGGTTTGAGACTATAGCCCCCAAAGCCAAGAGGTGTGTTCATGGAAACCCTTCGTGCAAAGAGATTCCACAGACCCGGGTGTGTGCCCGTGGCCACAGGGTTTGAGCTTGAGTATGGACTCTGCTTTCAGGCCTGCATGACTTGCTTCATCCGGATCTGACCCTGGCCAGTGACTGGTACGCAGGGAGGTAAGGGTGGGAGGGAGAAAGGGGGGTGGGGGATCTGAGGTAACATGGGTTCCCTGCATTTCCAGGATCTACTGCATCACTGATATCGACCCAGACCACCGGAAACTCAGTCAGTTGGAAGCTGTGGTCCGCTTCCTGACAGGGATGGATCCAGGCCTGGAGTGTGAGTCCCCTAATCCATGAACTTGTCCTCTCAGAGTCCTCAGGACTCTGAACTTGTCCTCTACTCCCCAGCAGCTCAGGGCTTCCCAGGGGTGGAGAGTGCCATGAACCCATCTTGGGATGGCAAGCGTGGCTGGAGGAGAACAAGAAGAGGCCCCGAAGAAACAGGCAGAGCTAGCTGGGGCTGTGAACCATGGAGGATGTGGGCATTCCAGGAACTGAAGGCCAGCACAGGGCTCCTCGTGTCAGAGGCCAGGGCTCTCTTCAGCTCCTTTCAGCCCTCCTGCTCATCCAGTCTATCCCCACCACCTTAATGTGGGCAAGGAGCAGACACTGTCTTCAGGGTCTCAGTTCTGCCAAGCATAGCATTTGGTCAGGCGGTTTCTTCAATCCCTTGGTCTTGAAGGATGTGCCAAGTCTAGGCACTCAGGCCAGCTCACTCGGCCATGGCCCTAGCAAGTCCCTTCCTCCTCTCCAATTGTCCTGCTACATATGTAGGTACCGAGGATGGGGTGCTGAGGAGGGGGTGGAGGGAGGGGAGAGTAGGATTAGCAAGGATGAAGACCCCAGGTCTGGGACTTTCTTTGAAGACAATAAAAAAGGGTTTTGTTTTTTTTGAAGTCGATGGAGTGGGTTATACAGTCATGTACATGTAGCCATTGAGTTGAATACTGTAAGTTAGTTTGTTGAGATGTAAACTTCACTTCAATGAAAAGTTAAAGCAGTTCTAAGAGAGGGGCAGAGAGTGTCACCTATGTAGAGAGGAGGAAGAGCAGCCAGGCTGGGGAAGCAGCAGGCACAGGGGCACTGAGGCAGGGCAGCGTAGAACCAGGTCAGGCCTGCAGCACCCACAGCCACCGGCATGTCCTGCATCCAGGAGCAGGGGGGGTGGGAGCTGTCACAGCTGGGCTGGATCAAGAGAACATCTAGACTCCCTAGTGCTGAGCTGGCAGGGGCCTTCAGTGCCAACCCCATCTTCTCTGTGGCTGAGAACTTGAAGGCAGAATAAGGAATGTTGGTATTTTTATGCCCATTCAGACGGCTTGAATAACCAGAGACACCAGCAAGAGTCATCCTTCTCCTGACTTCGATAGGATGGGGGGCTGTGCTGTGGGCATTGTTATTATTGGACAGACTAGTCTCAAACCTGCTATATCGCCAAAGATGAACACCAACTTGTGAGCTTCTGCTTTCAAGAGCTGGGAACCTAGGCTTGCATCACAACTGAGCTAGATCCCCAGCTTCTAGAAGCTGTGCACTTCTTGATAGGTTGGGGCTGGGGCAATAGGTGACACGTGACTAGCTCCTGTGACTTTACCTGCAGGTGACGAGGAGCTGATACGGGAGGTGCTGTTTGACGCAGTGGTGACAGCCCCCATGGAAGCCTACTGGACAGCACTGGCGCTCAACATCTCTGAGTATGTACAACAGGGACCCCGATGAGGACAGGGACACAGGGATATGATGGAACGGGGCGGGGGGGGGGGTGAGACTGGCCTTCACACACTGCTGTGAAGCAGGCTCCCATCCCGCAGCTCCTACCAGGCAAACACCCAGTCCAAGACCTGGGATGAACGTGTTTTCTTGGTTGGTCTCCCACTACCTAAGAAGCTCCCCCAGGGAAGCGCAAGACAGACAAATGGAGAAAAAAAATGTAACAAACTAAATCTTGCCAGGTGGTGGTGGCGCACGCCTTTAATCCCAGCACTCGGGAGGCAGAGGCAGGCGGATCTCTGTGAGTTCGAGGCCAGCCTGGTCTACAAAGGGAGTTCCAGGACAGGCTCCAAAGCTACAGAGAAACCCTGTCTCGAAAAACCAAAAAGAAAGAAAGAAAATTTCATACTTTCTCATAAAGAAAAAATAAAATAAAATCACATAGGAGTTACAGGAGTTGGATGGCTCAGCTCTTCCAGAGNAAAAAAAAAAAAAAAAAAGACAGACAAATGGAGACTTACTTCCAGCTTCGAAGGAAGGCTACCCAACCTGTTTGACCTCAGTGCTTCCCAGACCTGAGATTTCCCTCATCCTCCCACTGGCTTTGTCTTGGTGGGATTGTATTGCTTGGCTAGACAGAAAAATGAGTACTGTGTATGTGCCGCAAGAGGTAGGCGGTCAGGGTAACATTAACGAGGTAAGGGCTATAGCACTTGTTTCTGAATAGAAAGGTTCAAAATCATAGATGTCAAACCTCCCTAACACTCGAGTTTGCTGCTGCTCCTATATACAAAACAAACTCCTATTTTTAAAGGCGCATGTGCAATGTGCTCCATTTCTTCTAGAGAGGGGCCAGAGGGGCCAGAGCACAGTGTCCTGTGTGCGTGTACGCATATGCATCCGTTTTCCAGGAAGGCTGTTCAGCAAAGGTTCTGAGGGCTTCTCTCCAGTTACAAAAAATAGGTCATTGAACTGCATGCATTTTTGGTGCAACTTTGAACCATATAAATGTGGAAATACAAATAAACCTAAAATAAAATCGATAGGGCCAGATACTAGCACATAGTGTGTTGAGGGGCAAGTGTTCTTCACTAGCTTCTATCAAAAATAAATGGTCTGAAGTGGAGGCTAGGAAGATGGCTTGGTAAAGTGTCATGCAAGCGCGAGGACCTAAGTTTGGACCCCCAGAACCCACATAAAAAGTCAGGCATAGTACCTTACTTCTGTAACCCCATGCTGATAGGCAGATCCTTAGAGTTATTGGCCATTCGGTGAGCTCCAGGGTCAGCGAGTGACCTTTGTCCATATAAACAACCGAAGAAGACACTCCACACCAACTCTGACCTCAAAGTGCTTGCATATACACATGCACATGTTCCCACAGACACATGTACACACATAACACACACATAAAATTAAAAGCCAACATGTTGTGGGGGGTTGGAGGCTCGCTCTCCCACTGAAGATGCCCACAAGCATACCCCATCCCACTCCTATATAAAAAGATCAGAAAGCACTAAAGCAGCTCGGCAAGGGAACGTACTTCTAGCCTATGAGAACGTACTTCTAGCCAATGAGAATGTACTTCTAGCCAATGAGAGCGTACTTCTAGCCAATGAGAACTGGAGAAAGAAAATTGTCTCTGGTTAAAGATGACAGGAGCAGGGGGCAAGGTGGGGGTGACTCCATGGTAGAGCAACTGCGTAGCATGTATGAGGCCCCAGGCTCCATACCTCCAAACCCAGCACCGTAGAATAAATAGCTATTGTATATCAGGAAACTTCAAAATAACAGGAAAATCACTATAGCCAATTAGGGAATTTAGTAAAGTGGAATGTTATAATATCAGTGTTCAAAAATTAGTAAAACCTGGAGCTGGAGAGATGGATTAGTGGTTAACAGTGCATATTGCTCTTACAGAGGACCTGAGTTTGGTCCCCAGCACCCGTGCTCAGTGACTCACAGCTGCCTGCAACTCCAGCTCCTGGGGATCTGACGCCATCTTCTGGCTTCCATGGGTACCTACGCTTACAGGCATTTACCCAAACAGAGACATGTCCGTTAAAAATAAAATTTTATTTTAAAAATTAATAATACTTATGCACATAAATAGCCCCTGAAAAAGATACAATATGAAAAGACTTTAGGCTGGTAAGAAATAAAAATATTGTTCTAGAATTGCCAGAACACAGTGAACGCACCATGTGAGGACCCCTAAGACGTTGGGCAACATTGGGCTTGTGGCACCAGCCCGTGATTCCAGCTGCTCTGAGAGCTGAGGCAGGAGGACTGAAGGCTCCAGGCCTGCCTGGGCTACAGGGTAAAATGCCATCTCAAAAAGTAACGCAGGATTCAGCTCAGTGGCAACAGGCATGAAGCCCTAGGTTTAATCTTGGGATATGGGGGTTAGAAACAACAAAGAAGTAGGCCTGAATACATGGGAAGACTCACGGTATCTCTGAGTGGAAAGATAGATACCATGAGGCTCCTCCTCCCTAGTGTAGACTCCAAGGGCGCGCATTACTTTGGGACTGTCTCTCCGTGTCTAGGTGACCACTTGTAAAGCTCATTAGAACAATCAAGAACAGCCCAATGTCTCAAACCAGAATGGTCCTACCTAGATGTAAAGACATTATCAAACCTCTGCCCACTCTGAGTTGTGGTACACAAAAGAACAGCCAGCCCCAGGTGGCATACTGTGGACTTGTGCATCCCGAGGCACTGTGTCACGTTAATGAGAGGAGGCGGGCTTGAAAGCTGAGCTGGTGCCGAGGCCAATGGGACCAGCACCGTTGGGTGAGTGCACATACCTGGATGAAGTGACTCATTCAAACACACAGGAAAGAAGTTGTATAAGCGCTAACAGATGCTGTGATCCAGCTGAGCTGAAATCCGGGCGTCAGCAAACCTTCCTAATGCTGACTCAAAGCTCGGAAGCAATGCAAGAATGAGTGGAAAACTTAACAACCCGGAAATGTCTGTATGAGCCGAGAAGGGATGAGCTGGGGAGCTGTGGCCAAGAGCAGGTGGAGCACACTGCAGCCACAGTGTGGATGACTGAGAGCTTCAGGAGCAGACAAGAAGCAAGAGCCGTACAGGGACAAGAGTCAAAAAAAAAAAAAAAAAAAAAGGATCAGTCCTTAAATGCGTGCTGACCCAGTTCTGAATAAAAGATTTTTACCAACCCAGATCTGAATAAAAGATTTTTACCACTCAAGATAGCGCCTCTCACCATCCGGTATTACTGAAGCTGGCACTCACTCAGTGTGTGTGCTGTAAGCGGAGACTGGCAAAGCTGTGGCCTGAGCTTGGTAAACACGCTACTGGAAAGGATGCTGGTGTGCCTTACCCTGGGTTAATAAGGTCGTACTGTTAGTATCCTTAGGAGCTGATGTTTCCAACGAAAGGAAAAAAGAGACACAAGTTTCAAATATCGAAACTGTTTAAATACAACGGGCTGGAGAGATGGCTCAGTGGTTAAGAGCACATCTTACTCCTGCAGAGGACCAGAGTTCAATTCCCAGCACCCACATCAGGCAGCTCACAATTGCATATAATTCCAGCTACAGGAGATCCGATGCCCTCTTCTGGCCTCTGTGGGTATACACAAAAATAAAAATAAATCTTTAAAAAAAAAAAAAGGGACTGAATTGTAAACGTTCACCTGGATTCCAGATCTATTTTCTCTTAAAGCCATAAAAGGAAGTCCCTAGTCTGCCCTGCTGGGGATCACAGTGTCTGGAGCACCCGACTATCATGTGGACTGGCAGTATTGGTCCTCACTAAAGTGAGTCTGGGGACATCCCTGACTACAGGACAGGGGCAGGAAATGACCAGGTGACCCAGGAGCATCCAGTCACACCAGGAAGGGAGAAGCTAGCAAGACCAATGGGACTCAGAGGAGAAGCTAGCAAGACCAATGGGACTCAGAGGAGAAGCTAGCAAGACAAATGGGACTCAGAGGAGAAGCTAGCAAGACCAATGGGACTCAGAGGAGAAGCTAGCAAGACCAATGGGACTCAGAAGCCCCTTCAGAAAGCTAAGGATAGGGCGAGAGCAGAAGGCAGCCATGGCTGCAATGTGCTACACCCCAAACCCTGCATCCATGAAGAGTCTGTGGAAGACAAGACCTTGGTCACCTTTGGAGGTGTGGGACACACACTAATTTAAATAAGCAAAAGCATCAACTACTTATTTACCTTGCCTCTTCTGTGCAAATTGTTCCTTAGGGTATAGTTTTTTCTGTATAGAAGTATTTCTGGTAAAAGCAAAATAAAGAGAAATTTGAAGGTGTGTGCCTGTGAGTATCCCCCAGTCAACAGTGTGTGCTTGCCTGTCAGGACCGAATTGCCTGTGTATTCGCTTCATAGCTTTATACCAGAGACAGCCACCTTGGGTGAACGTTCATTTGGTTTCCAAGTCAGTCATGTGTCAGCTGACCCGTAGTTGCAGGGCCTATGCTGAGGGACATGTATCATGGCATACCGCAATGCTTATGGGGGTGGAGGGCACCAGGGTCCCAAAGGCCCCTTCAGGAACACCTCCTCCCAGAGGTCTAAGAGGTAATTTACAAGAAATACAAGGGGCAACAAAATAAGGGTGCTAAGCAACACTTCAGCAATTGACCTGGTCCAGCTGGGTGGTCTGGCGCGTGCAGGAAGTGGTCTGCCAGGAAAGGGAGGCTGGGATGGGAGACCCAGGGCCAGGTTTAAAAGGCGAATGACTGCCACGGGCATGGCGTTTCCTCCAAGGGTGACGATAAACAGTCTAAAGTCACAGAGGCAAGGACTGTGCTGGTTGATGCATGCACTTAAAGAAATACACTTTAGATGAGGAAATTGTATGGTTCATGGGTTGTAGCTCAAGACACGGAAGAAGGAGACTGGCTTACTAAGCCACTGTACTGAACAGACCACAGTAAGATTCTACTTCGCCCAGCTGAAACTCACGAGCTTCGGGGCTATCTGGTGACAGTGGGTGTCGTGGAGCTTTCGGGGAGGTACGACCGTGACACGGAGGGTACTTTTTGTTTGTTTTAGCTCCTTGTATTCTGATGATATAAATTAAAATATTTACTGATTAAATACATAGGAATTTCTTGACAATATTCAGTTGCTGTAGTGCCGTGGGAAGTCTTGGTTGGTGTTTGTAAAGCTGGGTTACGGGAGAGGTCAGTAGACTCTAAGAGCAAATTGGATGGGTGCTTTTTAAAGATGCTGACCCCAGGGTCTGACTTAGTGCAGCTAATGCAGGGTGTTGGTACCTATGACATTTAAACCCTGAGTAGCCCAGACACCCACCTGCAGAAACCCCATATCTCTAGGTCTTTCTCTTCGGGGACTCCCCAGGCCTGGTGCTGTACCTGGATGCTGCCAGTGTAGGCCATCCCGTAGCCTCCAGGCCCTAGCGATGCTTTTGGTACGGCCTGTGCTCTCGTGGAGCCCACAGACCCAAGAACCACAGACCCAGGTATGAGAAAAGACAGTTTACACATTGTCATTGCTTTGCCTTACAGAACAACAGAGCCTGGCGTGGATATGGCCTTTCTGGGGACCCGGGCTGGTCTCCTAAGACGGAGTTTGTTTGTGGGCTCCGAGAAAATCTCTGACAGGTGAGTCCTGGGCACCCTGAGGCTTCTAGAAGGGAGGAGCATGGCACAAGTCTTGAGTCCCCTTGGGGCACGTAGAGCAAAGACGGTCTCATCATCCAGACCCACAGACCCTACTCTAGCAGAGTGCAGATTGTGGGAGAACCCTGCTGAGGGGGCCCACATACTGCCCAGTCCTCCACACCACCGCGGACAGCAGCTGTCTTCTGGCCCGACTCTGCATGGAGGCTGGAGCCCAGAAGAGGGCAGGGTAGTGCCACCTGGTGTCCTAAAGCTCAGAAGGCTCAGACACCTGGAGAACAGTGACCGCCGAGCTGATGGGTGACTTCACACACCCGTCTTTCCTCCCACTCGCTCACTGCCCCCCTCACTACATCCCAGTGCAGTCAACAGGGAAGCATCTCTGTGCCTCTCTCGGGACTCAGTGAAAGTCCACACATGCTGAGCAAGGCTGCAGGCTTTCTAGAAAAACAAATTTGCTTGTTTTCCCCTTCTCCCCTCTTCTTTCCCTTCCCTAGTCCCCAGAGAGGTGGGGAGAGGAAAATGGCACCCTCATAAAAGGGTTCCTAAGGATGGGAAGCCATGGCAATACAAACAGGCCTTCCTTGAGTGGTCAAAGACTCTGGGAAGCTGGGAAGACAACTGCCCGGAGGGCCACAGGTGCCTTGTGCACACCAGCGAACTCCCTTTACCTGGACCATGATGCAGTCTGCTTTCAGAGCTGGCAAGGCACTCACTCACCCAAACGTCAGTCTTCTACCTGTGAATTACCCATAGGTGCCACTTCCTTGTGCAGCCCACCCGGCTCCGCCTACTTCCTAGTCAGCGTCTGGACCAGCCTCCCTCTGTAGGCTTGTGTGTGTTCGGGGAAAGCAAACCCATAATTAGCAAGGAAAAGCTGCTCCAAAAGGAGACGAATGTTGCGCATCAAAGCCTTTCGAAGTAACCATGTAGGGCAGTCCGTGCTTCTCTACCGCAGGGATAGAACTGGCTGTCTGGTTTCCTCACTCAGATCTGCCAGTGAGCCAGACCAAAGGAAATTACCCATACCCATGGGATATGTACTTTGTTGGTCACACATCTGTATCTTCCTGCTCCACTGGCCAGCCTCCCCTGCCACCAGAGGTTGCAGTGTTTTGCTTCTGGAAGAAGCAGAAGCTGCCTGGGGCAAGGTGTACTTAGGAGCTGATGGCTCGTTTCATTCTTTCTTTGTTGAGTGATCTGTGAGATGGGTCTTGCCTTGTAGCCAACGTAACTGAGAAGCAGGGACATTCTCCTTCACTCTCAGAGTGCTGGGATAAGGTGCATGCCTATGCTGAGGATGGGGGTGTTTCCTGTCTGCAACTGGACCAGCACAGAGCGGAGGGTCTTGGTCTTGGCCCAGCCAAGATGATTGCATAGGCTGCTGGGAAAAGAAACAAATGTCTTCCCAGATTTGAGGAGGCACCCATCCTATTCTGGCAGGAAGTTCCTGACACCTGAAGACGAAGCCAGTCTTTTTACCATGGACCACTTCCCGCTGTGGTATCGCCAGGCCTCTGAGCAGCCCCCAGGCAGTTTTGTCTTCAATCTCCGCTGGGAAGAAGGACCAGGTAACCTACACCCCTGTGCTCTCCCCAAGAGTGGGAAAGGAGGGCTGGATGATACAGAAGAGAGGACGACCCTGGGGCTCCTTCCTGCCTTCCCTCCTGACACTGCAGCTTTGGAGCATGCCTGGTGTTGCACACAGAATGTAGGCCTACGTGTTCTCATCCCCCACCCAGCAGTCAAGCTCCAGCGTGGAGGAAAGGAAAGAGATCTGACCCGAAAGCCGAACAGGTGACTCCTGGCCCACATTCCTAGTGTCAGGTCAGCAGGGTTGATCTTGATCGCCAAGAGGCTTCTGTTTCTAAGGACCCGAGCAGCTTTAAAACTTCTTTAAAGCTCCCATAGCTGCAAATATGGCTCTTTCCATCTCTACTGCTGTCAGGTTACGAAGAAAGCAGCTCCCAGGACACAGGAGAGATAGTCAGGGCCAGCCAGCAGGCCTCCACAGACCCAGGCCACTGGGCAGGGAAGAGAGGTGGAGAGGTGGCACCAAGCTGAGGGCTCCCAGTTCCAGCCCTGGTTACTTTGGAGAACGGCAGGAAAAAAACACCAGGATCCTCACTGAGTGTGAGGGAATCAGACCACTGAGAACCCGGGGGGCCTAAGGCTCAGTGCAGCCTTACCCTTGGTTACCTTTAAGGAAATGGCAGCCCAGAGAAGCTGAGGGGCTGGTCCGGGGCCCAGGAATCTAAGAAGCAGGAAGTATCTACCAGGATACCAAGGGGGCTGAGCCCAATCCAGAGGGGCTGGGACTTGGACAGTGCCTACTTGTGGAATGGGTGAATATGGTGGACAAGAGTTCAAGAGGTCAAGGGGGCCCTGGCAGAGATGACAGCGTTCTCTCTCTCTCTCTCTCTCTCTCTCTCTCTCTCTCTCTCTCTGTGTGTGTGCATGCATGCACACCTAGGGACATACACACACACACACACACACACCACAGAGAGCTGCCCTGGAACTGTCAGCTTCAGGAACCCAGACTTTCCAGGGCTCCCCCTCTAGGCTGAAGACAGCAAGGGGGAGTTCCTTCTTATCCACTAAGCCTGTCACTCCACCCTGTGTCGTTCCCTCCACCCACATACCGAAGTCTAAAGTGCTTTACAAACATTTCCCTACAAAAACGCCAGGAGATAAGTGCTGTTGATGGCGTCTCCTGGGGAGACTTGAAGGCTCAGAGATCTCATTCTGTGATTTGCTCAAGCTTCTCAGCACAGAAGCAGTTTTTACAGCAAGCTAGAGTCAGGTCTGCTTCAGGACACCCTAGATCTGGGGCAGGAGGCAGGAGAGAAAGGAGGTGTTTTCATTCCTGGGACTCACAAAGGAGGTTCTTAAGGCCAAGCCGAAGGTTTTCCCATGGTGTACACCTGAGGCAGAGAGGCAGGTCCTCCCACCATGTGAAGGGTTCCCCTCAGGAGAGACACCCACGGACTCCATAGACGTTCCCCGGGCGAGACCCTGGGCCCCACCCAGCCGGGTGACAGGCTGCCTCCTGCCGGCTCTGTCACCAGCACTGCCTGCTGGCTGCTAGGGGGAGCTTTACGTGTCCAACGTGGTAGGAGGGCAGGTGGGTGGGGAATTGAGCTGCCAGGAGAAGAGAAGGAAGCTGGGAACCCAAAAGGGGACTGCTGAGGAGGGAGGCAGGAGCTTGCTCGCTTCCTACGCCCTTGCTCACTCGCTCAGCCCCAGCACACGCTTAAAGCCACGTGGACACTTCTGGGTCTCCCATCCTCCCCAAAAGAAAGAAAATCATCTCATCTCAACAGGTGTGGAGCTGCTGAGGAGGCGACCGAGTAGGGCAGCCTCTGGCGGGTCTGAGGTCTGGGCAGATTGAGTGCTGCCCCCTTGAGTTGGTGCCTATACCACCCGCCAGCACACTACAACCCGCCAGCACCAAGGACCTGGGCCTTCACATTCGTCTCTCCTCTTCCTGGGCTTATTCCCACAGGTTCCAGGGCCGTGAGACCATTGATCCTAACCTTGAAATTCCCAAGGGCTCCAGAGATTACCTGAGTGTTTCTCACAAGCCTGTGCTAGTCGGAAGGCAAGCTACAGAGCCAAGGCTACAGAGCTGAGGATTCCTGCAGGAGTCCCCACGTCCATGTCTTATGGGTGTTCCCCAAAACAAAGTGAGGGGTCTGGTCTCTGTGTCTACTCTAGTTCCTTTGACTCTGGCATGGTAAATTTCTGGAATCAAGGACAGCTCAAGTGTCGTGAGTTCCCAGAGCCTTGAGACGTGTTGAAGACAGCAAGGTATCAGCGGAACTATAACAGCACAGCCAGCGTGTGACCATGCTTGGCCCCATTACAGAGGCTCTGCTCTTTGTCAATCTCCAGGAGGCCCAGAGAACTGGTTATCATAGGCAGTGTTCACCACGAGGGCATTTGACCGAACAGGACAGTACATGATCTTGGACCGTGTAATGGAATCTGACCTCTAGACAAGAGGCGGCCTTTGGAAAGCTGGCCTAGGTAGGATGTGGATGGAGGTCAGAGGTCATACAGCAGCCAGCTGGGAAGATGCTCTCATATGGAGCTGCACCGACCCTCTGAATCTTGCTCCCAGGATGGCCTGGTTCTTCTAAAAGAAGCGAGAGGCAATCCAGGCCTCCAGGCACCTGGCAGAAAGTTCTAGAAGGGCAGCAATGAAGCAGGAAATCATTATGGTAGTGAGTCGGGTGCCACCCACAAGGATCCATGAAGCCTCATAGATGTGTCAGATACCACCCTGGCTGCGAGGGGAGGCTGTTGTCCACCGCATCTGGCCTCTGAGCAGGACCATCGCTGTCACCTCTCTGTGACTCTGAAAGGCAAGGCAGGGTCACCTGCCACCCGGGCCTGGGATGCTTGCAGCCCGTCCCTCAATATGAGGCACGTATGTGGCTCCCGTCCAGGTAGATTTTATTGTCAACCTGACAGCAGTCAGCTGGCGAGAAGACAGGGAACCCAGACTTGATTGCCTTGATCAGTGGCACAATCTTGTTAACTGTAGAGGGGCCTAGATCAGCATGGCCAGCGCCATCCCCAGGCAGGTGGGCCTGAGTTGTGCAGGAAAGCAGGCTGAGCACAAACCAGGGAGTGATCTAGCGAGCAAGCCAGGAGTCGGCATTATCCCACTCACTTCTGCTTCCTGCTCCTGCCTTGACTGCCTGTCCTGGCTTCCCTCGATGGTGGAGTGCGGCCTGGAGTGGAAGATGAAATCGACCCTTTCCTCCCCAGGCTGCTTCGGGCTGTGGTGTTTGTCACAGCAGCAGGATAAGGCAACGAGCGTACGGGAAAGCAGGCTGTGCCAGGGGCCTGTCACAACTGCAAGGGAGCTAAGCGGGAGCAGCAGGCAGATGGGTTTGCTCCCTGGAGACGGAGCAAAGTCACAGTGCCATCGTGATGCTCAGCCTGGCAGGGGCTAAGAATTAACCCCGGCAAGTTCTGATTTGTTCAGATTCGGGGACAGCAAGGGACCTTCCGGACACTGTTGAAAGACAGGTGGTGGACAGCCACAAGCCATTGTCAACAGGATTCTTCCCCTACCTCACCGTTTTCAGGGAGAGCTTATCCTGGAATCCCTGTTTGTCTCCTATCCCAAGAAAGAGATAGGCTCACCCCTAACCTCTCTCTGCAGGCAGAGAATAACGATAATTCTCACTTTCCCAGATAGCCCAAGCAAGCCAGTGGCTGTAAGGGCCAGCACTGCGGTAACTGTGACGGTGGACGGGAAGACGGCCATCGCAGCAGGTAGGCGCTACCCTGAACCGCTGAGGTAGGAGCCCCAAGGCAGTGTCAAGGTGAGGGCTGGCAGGGTGGAGCTGGCTCTGCCAGAACACCTGTCTAGCTGGCCTGAGGCCATTTTCATTCCCGGCACCACACACACAGGAAGAGAGAATAAGATGCCCTGGATATGGGGATTCTAAATTTTCCCAGGAGGAATGCTGGGGACAGGAAGTGGATGCTTACGTCATTTTGTTTATAAAACCATAAAGCCCAAAAGATTCACAGATTAAAATGAAGCTCAGAGAGGTTAAAATATCTTCTCAAGGTCACACAGGACAGGGAACGGACATTACCTTGAGCTCTATACCTGAGCTCATGACTCAGCACTTTCTACCTGGAATTCAGGGTAACCTAGCAAGGCTATATTACAGACAAAGAAAATAAGGGATGGAGGGGTGATTTGTCCAAAGTCCCACCGCTAGTAGTAAAGCTAGAACCTGGACTCAGAACATCTCTCCTTGGGACCCAGGATTACCCCCATGCTTCTGCCTCCGCTTCTAAAACAACAGCACCCCGTGGGTTGGCCTGACTTTGCAGTTTCTTGATGGCTAGGACTGTCCCTGGCATCTGTGCCTTGCTCTTTGAACGTCTGTGATCACACCCTCCATGTTCCTCAAGAAGCTGTGCAATCCATGGTCACTCAACCTGGTGGAGCTGGGGTGCTAGGCACTTGTCTCATGCCCCAGGAGCCTGGGGAGGCCAGCGGCAGGCAGGACCCTGGCCTCTTCCCAAGGCTGGGAGTGTCTAGGGGAGGAGCAGGAGCGGCTGGCCTGAGTTTCCTCAAGGAATCCTTGCTGCTCAGAGTCAAGGTTCCTGTGGGTTCCCTCCTGGGTTGAGGTAGGGGAAGGTGGCTCAGCAGCGCATCCAGCCCAGCATGCCCGGCAGTCTGTAAGGTGCCTCCCACCCTGCAGAGGGGATGATTATATCCCAGCAGCTCTTCCGGAGCCCACGGCATGCCAATCCCTGGCCAGCTGTGAGGCTCACTTATCTAAAATCCTCCTGCAGTTTAGTCCCAGCAGACCCATGACTACCCCGTTCTGCCCGGGGTAGTCCTAGAAGACCCGGGAAAGGAGAGAAGGGATACAAGGCCAGGCCACTGACTGTGCTTCTCCACACTCCCCAATTATCTGATTTAATTTTTAACTCAGAGCTGAGTTAGAGCCAGGAGGGGTTGCCATAGAAACCGTGTCCCAGTGCCTCTGGTTGAACTCCTTCAGACGGTCCCTGTGACGCTCAGGGTACACGGCTGTGACAGAAAAAGCAAGAGGCGTTAGAGACCTGACACCGCGAGTTCACCTGCATCTCATTCTAGATTTTTCCTCTCCCTGGTTCCGGGCACCATCTCCCTGCTCCTGGGACCAGGTGGGACCGTCAGCTCAAGGAGGGCAAGGTGGTGTGTCTGCTGTCCCTGAACGCTGGGGCTTTGGGTGCTCTCCAGAACACAGTGTATCAGCAAGGGCTGTGTCAGAGACCTGTCCTGCTGTCTGGAGAGGCTTGGATCATCGTAGGGGTCTAGACAGACAGGACTGCCGCCCTCTGAGCACTTCCCTCTATGAACCGTGCCTGTGGCTTCAGGAGCAACGTGTGCTCTGCAGGGGGCTCAGAGGGGACCAGATTTGGCTCTGCTATAGAGGGACCAGAGGTGGGGGACCCCACTATGACCACACCTAGGATGAAACATCTGGCTGCTTGGCTTTCTGTACCCTGGGAGTTTACGTCTCCCTGAGGTCCGTTCCTGACTTGGTGAGTCGTCAGCCCAGGAAAGCTCCCAAGGTGAAGGTTCCACGTGAGTCTCTGGAGATGGACAGAGTTCAGGACCACTGGGGACAGTCCCGCCCTGGGGGTAACAAGCAATCGCAGAGGCCGTGCTTTCTTCTTCCTTCCCTTTCCGGTGCCACCCTCCCAGCTTTCCTGTTCCTAATTCTATCTCCCTACTGGCTGACAGGGGCTTATTTCTAGGCCCAGGTGTGGGGTGCTTATGCGGTACTGAAAGGCTAAGATGGCATTCCTGAAACTCCAGCACGCTCCCACAGACCCCAGGTGAGGCAGCCCTTAACTAATCGCCTCGCCTCCTGGCAAGACAAGGGTCCTCAGGTAAGCACAGGACGTCTTCTGCGCAAATGCAAGCCTCGTGCCACATGGGTCATCGTCTGCCCGTGGCTGCCAGGACAGAACGGTCAGGAGCTGGGTGGACACCCCAGGTGCAGAGCTAGCAAGGTCTGCTCACCTCGGCTCCACAAGCTTACTCTTCTCTGAGACTCCCATTGGTTGCTGCTAGACTGGAGCAGACAGGTTTCAAATCCCAGCTCAGCCCTGCCCGGAGCTTGTCACCCTTGTCCTGAGCCAAATCCTCTCCAGGATAGTGCCTTCACATTCCTCTCAGCCCTGAGGTCCTGGGTACTGAGCAGGGGACCCATCTGTCACATAGAGCTCTCTGCACCGGGGTGACATTCCTCTACAAATGGCTCGGCTGTCTGGCGACGCAGGGAGACAGGACACCAGTCTCCCCATGCCCACATCCCCTCCCACCCAATGAAGCAAGGAAATACATAGGAAAATAGTCTTTATTGGTCTTCTGAAACAACAAACCAGAAATATAATTTTGCCTTTAAAAATCTTCTGTCTCAGGCTAAAGATATCACCACTGACAACACCCTCCCTCCCCCAGGCCCTTAGAAAATCCCAGCTCTGGGATTGGCCCACCAGCCAAAAGAGGAAGGAAGACGGTGGCTGGGCCTAGAGGATCCTGTGCCCTCTGTCTGTCAGCCAGAGAACAACCTTGAAAGCTGTCCTGAGACTCCTGGTGCATGCCCCTGCTAGTAGAGTAGGTGGTAGAAGAAAAGGAGGATGCCAGGTTGTCCCGACGCCCCCACGGACACATCCTTAGTACCTGTGTCTAGCTGGCCTCTTTCTAGCTACCAACAAGGCCCTGCTCAAGGCAAGGTCTCAGCCTAGCATCTTCGGGCAGAGGGATACCAGTCTCTAAGGAGGGGACAGCTGAGAACAGAAAGGACAGCAACCCTGAAAATGTGCACAGCCCCCGGGGGCAAGAGTCTCCATCCCAGATAGGACCGCAGCCCCCTTTTTTAGCTTGGCTAGCCTGGGTGCAGTTGCACGCTCCCAGGAAACCAGGCAGAGCCTATGAGCCTCTGGGAAAGGAAGTCCCCCCACTGAGGACTCTGAACAGAATGTAGCCATCCTGTTCCTGTTCCTGCAGTCTGTTGGGAATGTGTTGAAGGCAGCCAGCCTCGGTGAGCCCCACTGCCTGATGTCTGCTCTCCTTAAGGTGAACCACCCATCTCAGAGCACAGCCCAAACCCAGCCTGGAGGTCACAAACAAAAGATGCAGGGGCAGGAGAAGCAGAGGAACAGAAGTAAGGCTGCAGGCTGCAGGCTGCAAGGCTGCAGGAGTGGAAACTGCTCAGGGTGCCCGGAGACCTGGCAGGGTGGAGGTTCCTAGGCACACCCAGGGGTCTGCAGCTGAACTCTCAGAAGCCTGGAACTTGTCCTGCGTACACGCACAACTCCTGTGTCTCTGGTAAACCTAACAGGAGAGGTGCTAAGGTTGCCATGGCAATAGGCAATTCTTCCAGCAGCTCACTTTGGCCCACTTTAGAAGGTCTCAAAGGATCCCTGTGTTGTTGTCCAGGACCTAACCCCTGATGACATAGGAAGACTGTAGTCAAGAAGTAAGAGAGACTATGGCCTCCAGGCGGAAGGGACAGCAGGCCTCGGCCTCAAGTCCTCATGGCCTCCTTTCCCACCTGGTGTGTGTGTGTGTGTGTCTGTCTGTCTGTCTGTCTGTGTCTGTCTGTGTGTCTGTCTGTGTGTGTGCCTCTGTGTGTGTATCTGTGTGTCTGTCTGTCTCTCTGTGTCTGTGTGTGTCTCTGTGTGTATATCTGTGTGTCTGTTGTATGTGTGCCTATGTGTGTGCCTCTGTGTGTGTATCTCTGTGTGTGTGTGTGTGTATGTGACTGTGCATGTGTGTGATTTTGATCCATGGGACTGTGATAGCAGTGCCCCGTATGTGACAGTGAACTAATGTATAGAGTAAGACCCTGTCTCAAAACCCTACACTAAAACAAAAATATAAAATGAGTAAACCCGGAGAACATAGTCAGAGGAGTCTATAGCAGATAAAGGGACAGGATGGCATCCACCCAAGGAAGACATTGTAGTCACTTTGGTTTCTCTAAGCACTGGACCCAGATCACAGGGCTGGGGGTGTTTGCACGTTGGCACCAGCTGCTGCGAGCCGGACAAGCTTCACACCGCAAGGACCTAAGAATATCTTTCTGTCTCCAAAAGGAGTCACAGAAATCTACCTCTGGCTCCCTGTCCCTCCCTCGCAGGCCCTAATGCAGACTGAAGTGGGAATGAGCAAGAGGTAGGGAGGGTCACCAGCTGTGCTGGCCCTGGGCAGGAGGGACGTGCTCTGTGCAGAGCGTGGGGCCGGTGTAGGTTTTCTTCCCTGTGGCCGGAAACCTACACGGACACTCAGGTGTCCCAAAGACCAGGGGCCCAGAGAGGGCCTTCCCCGGGAACCTTTGGCCAGGGGAAGTGTCTAGAAACTTGGAAAGAGACCGGGAGGCTGCTCTACTGAAGGGCAGACGAGGGCCAGGGAGCTGAGGCAGGCTGAGGCAGGGCCTGTGATGGAGGGAAGGGCAGCCCTTTGGTAGCAGTCCCATGGAGTCTCCTTGCTGTCCTACCTGGGCCAGACAGACAGCTCTCATGCCACAGAAGAGATCTGTTTCTGATCTTCATGCTCACCCTCGGGGTCCCCCATCAGCGGCTGGCGCTTCTTGAGCTCCCGGTGGTATTTAGCCATGAGGGAGGCATAGATGCAGCCGTAAGCAGCAGCCACCACCATCATGATGCAGACAATACCACACACGACACCCGCGATGATCACTGTGCCGATGGCTCGCCGCACACTCACTGGCCGGTACCTCTGCTTCTGAGGACAGGCAGTGCTGGGCTCGGGCTCGGGCTCCACCCCGGGCTTAGGTTTTGCAGGCTCTGGGCTGGCCTTAGTGCAGGGTGGCCCTGGAGCATCCATCCCAGCAGAGTTGTTCTCATCCTCTAGCTGGGAACAGTAATTAAACATCTCCATGGGGACCGCACGCATGTCCTTCCCCCGTAGCTCCTTGGGTAGGGTGCAGGCAAGTTGGTCCAGGCGACCCCCTGCATCCAAGAAAAAAAAAAGAGGTGCTGAACCTCCAAATGGGAAGGCCCAAAAAGTACAGTCCTGCCAGTAATGTAGTCAGTCCTGATTACCGAAGAGTAAGAGGAGGTAGTACCAATGGACCAAGGACTGTGATAGACATATGTGATAGAGGAGGTCACCACAACTGCCAGAGCCATTCAAAATGGGCATTGCCATTACTTTTAGTTCACAGAGAGGCTCACATCCATCTCATTCAAACCTGTCCCTCCAAGGTCACACTGACCTACAGGAGCACAGCAGCTCCAGCTGGAGGCATGCTCAGGACATGGCTTTGGTACAGCAAGCCATGTTCCTGCCCAGACTGTACGTCTTCTTCTCTGCCCGGGACCCAGATGCTCGCTGATGTCTGTGAACCCCTGCCATTGCTTTCAACACAGTACCTTGGCCTGTGTTTCTTCTCACAAAGAGTACAAAAGCCAGAGCCACTGCCTCATCCCCTCCTCCACATAAGGTTCTGATGGCCTGAGAACACCAAAAAGAGGGCATGGTATCTGCCTGGGCCTGTCAGGTGTCCCAGCACAGCGGTATCTAGGGAGGAAATCCTGAACAGGAGGCTGGAGCTGACAATACAGCTACCAAACTACCTTTATGACACTGGGGAGGCCAGATAGGGCAGAGGAAGAATATCAATCAGTACCTAACTGGATAGTGTTGGAGGAGGCCACTTGTTTCGTTCCCGGCTGCTCAGCAGCTCAGACCCGAAATAATCACACAGAAACCATATTATTTAAATCACTGCTTGGCCCATTAGCTCTAGCTTCTTAATGGCTCACTCTTACATATTAATTTAACCCATTTCTATTAATCTGTGTATGGCCACACAGTGTCTATCTCCCGCGGGGCTACATGGCTTCTCTCTAACTCCTCCTTCTTTCTCCCAGCATTCAGTTTAGTTTTCCCCACCTACCTCTATTCCCTACACAGGCCCAAGACAGTTTTTTTTATTAACCAATGGTATTCACATACAGAGGGGAATCCCACATCAGGGTAGGTTATGAGAGCCGGGACTAAGGACTGTCTGTAACCTGGGAAGTCGGAGATGGAGTCTGACTTTCTTTCAGCTTAGGAGAGGCTCAGCTACAGTATCACTTCCAGCCCCCTCTCCCAGCCCTGCCACCTCGAGCCCAATCTCACAAGAGGCGTCCATCTAATCCCAGGATGCCCAGGATGCTGATGGAAACACTGAGGTTTTCATTTAGTTTTTTAAGGAGCGCAAGGCTGAAGACAAAGTCTGGGAAGCTGGCTCCAGCCTGCTGTGTTAAGGGCAAAGATGCGCCCTAAGGCCAGCACCAGGTCTTTAATTCCACCTGGACAGTTCTGGAAAAGCTGAAGTGCAGTAAGCATATAACCAAGGCCACCTTGGTTAGAATGAGGGAGAGCCAATAGGGCAGTGAGCAGGAGTGACCTTATTTTCCTGCGCCAAAGACCCGGGATTGAATCCTGGCTGTGTTGTCACCTGGAAATTATTTAACTTACTTAATTATGCCCAAGTCTTAGTATTCTTCGCTGCAAAATAAGGATATCTACCTCAATTAGCTGCTTGAGAGATTAAAATAGATAATGTGCACAAAAAGGTATTTGTAAACTGAGAACTAGACGACAGCATTAATCATGTCTCCACTTCAAAAACAGAATTATCATGGTGACTAACATCTCAAAGTACTTTATCATTTGTAAAGTGTTTCTTCACTAATGCATCCAAGTAGCATGGAAATATTGAGTTAGTGGCTGGATGGGAAATGAACGGGGTAAGATAAGGGAACACACTGTATTATTTTTAGAATCCCAACACTGATTTGTTAATTCCACATACGCCAAGTAGCTGCCTTGTCCTGGGCACTGACTGTGTCTTACTGTGTGCACTTGATTTTATGAATACCACTAGCAAATGAGCAAACGAGGCAGTGCTCCACCGAGCACTTCCTTTATGCTGGGCACTTTTCAAAGGCCTCCTATGCATTTCCCTATTTAATTCCGACAATCGACCTTTCTCCCTTTTACAGATATACCACAGAGATGTTAATTAACTTCTCAAGATCACTCAGCTAGTAGGTGGCAGGGCCAAAATTCAAGCAAGATCTGGCACTTTTAAACCCTGTGCTTATTTATTCAGCCTCCCATCCATCCTGCTCTGCCTCCCAAGTGCTGAGATCACAGGGATAAGCCTGGCTAAGCATTCGTTCGCTCAATTCATTTGTTCATTATAGAACTTTTCCAGGCTAGAGAAAGGGAGAGGGTCTGGAGAGATGGCTCAGCAGGTAAGAGCACCTGCTGCTCTTGTAGAGGACCCAGGATCAGTTTCCAGCACCCACATTGGGTTGCTCTTAACTGCCTATAACTCTAGTTCCAGAGGATGCCCTCTTCTGGCTTCTGAGGGCACTGCATGCACGAGGTGTACATAATACACTTGGGCACACATACACACAAAGTAAATAAATAAAACCTTTTTTAAAGTATGGGGAGAAACCAGGAGTGGTGCTTCACAATGTTTAGGTTCAGCCTGGAACATATAGAGTCCCAAGCCTGGGCCAAGAGTCTCCAGGTTAACAACAAAGAGTTGTCAAGATGGCTCAGAGGATAAAGTCACTTGCTGACTGACCAGGCTGATGGCCTGAGTTAGATCCCTGGAACATACACGGTAGAAGGAGAGAACCAACTCCTGAAACCACCCTCTGATTTTCACATGTGTTCTGGGGTGTGTTGTGCACACATGTGCATACATCTGCATGTGCACAGGTGCACATGTGTGTATGCAAATAAATAACAAGTTTTTTAAAGGAGCGGGAGGGAACGGAAGCAAAACTAAAACCCTCTAGCTGCTTACTAAGTTTTCTGTCAAAAATTCTTGGGTCAGGAAGCTGGCACCTCCTTCATAAGAAAATGGTTGTGTCTATGGGTTTCAGTCACATTCCGCCCTCATGTAAGAGGCAGGAGGCCTTATTATTCCCAGAAAAGGTGGTTGTTCCTCTTCCTGTCCTGCAGGGAAGCCCCAGGGGCCTACTAGTGGGACAAAGAGCACAGAAAAACACCATGTGTCTCTAAGTCCCCATAGAAAAGCTAAGAGATGGAGGCAAAGGTACAGTAAGTAGGCCCTTAATGAGTCCTAATAAACAGAGGGGAGCAGTGCCTGGCCTCCGCTGCCTGCAGGGAAGGAATAGCAGGGTGAGGGTGGAGCTCTTCTTCCCCCTTCCTCAGCCCAGCTCTTCACACAGGCAGGGTAGGCAGAGGACTCACCTCTGTAGGAGAACCACTCCAGCCAGTGTTTGAACTCTCGAAGGTTACAGTCACACTCCCACGGGTTGTCCCCAACCTGAAGCAGCTGCAGGCTCGCCAGGGGCTCAAAGGTCAGCCGGTCCAGGCTCTGCAGTCGGTTGGAGCGAAGGGACAAGGACCGCAGAGCCAGGAGCCCGTCAAAAAGGCCCTGGGGCAGCTGGGCCAAGCCGTTGATAGACAAATCCAGGTGGCGCAGCAGCGGGGCGTGCTGGAGCAGTTCCCTGTCCAGGGTCCTGATGCTGTTGTTCCTCAGCTGCAGCTCTGTCAGGTTGACCAGGTCCTGGAAAATGGACCGAGGTAGCTGGTCCAGGAAGTTGTTGGACAGGTCCAGCCGCTGCAGGTTGGACAGGTTAGCGAAAGTCCAGCTTGGCAGGGCACTCAGTTTATTGTTCAGGAGCAGAAGGCTTTGGGTGGCGACGGGCACATCTGGGGGCACAGCAGTGAGGCCCAGGCCACTGCAGTCTACCTCCAAGGTGCGGCTGTCACAGGTGCAGGAGAAAGGGCAGGCAGGGAGCACCTCCACAGCACACAGGGCAATCCAGCAGGTGATCCCTAGGGAGGAGTCCGGAGGAGAGAGTAACAGGCTTGGGTTTTCCTGCCTCAGTTTCCCCTTTCCCAACTCATGCCCTAGTACCTTCTTGGCCTCATTTCCTTTGGCACAAGCTACAGTCAGTTCATGGGTATTTACTGACCACACAGGAAGGTGCTCGGAAATCTGAAACACCCATGTTAAAGGACCAAAATAGTCACCTTTGTCAGTGCAGTGGCCTACAGGATAAGCCATACAGGTTCTCAGGTCTGGTTCACAGCCTCCTCCATTAAATGTCTCTGAACTTAGATGCCCTAATGCTCCAAATGTTTACAAAATGTAGTATTTTAAAATACCAGAGCAATTTCTCCAAGTCAATGGTCACAAGGCTTGGGTCCTTCCTGTGGAAGCCTCAACCCCCCCAAAGCAGCTTCACAGTAGGATATGAAAGGGGCCCAGAACATGCCCTATAGCATCTTAACTGCTGCCTCATTTACCTGATTCTCATGTCTAAGTTGGGACCCACCCATCTGGGATCTGCATCAGAGCACTGTGATAAGGGCAGGGTAAACCAGCTGCTTCCAATGCTAGAAGTCTGTCCAGGATTGGCTCCACCTATACTTGAACTCTGAAGTCACCAGGCTTTCTAGCGTTAGGGTGCAAGGTAGCATTTCTGAGTAGGTCACTTGGCAGGATTCCTGCCATGTCTTGTTTTGTCTTCTGAGTAGAATATGTGGATCCAGCCTATGGGCAGCTGCTGGAAGTGAGCCCCGAAGTGGGCCCCCTCTGGGGGTGGTCCTGTAGTCAGCCCCAATGCCCCACTGCTAGAGAGCCTGTCTTTCTGGGAACCTGGAAAATAGCTCACGCAGTTCTGTTTCCATTGAATCAGCTCCACCTTGAGTCCCAAGGAAAGCCTCCAGATGGAGAACTGACCAAGTCCAGCCCAGCTGGCCCTACAGGGCACCTGGATGAGACAGTCTCCAGTCTATCTGGTGGGTGTCTCGTCATCTAAGTCCCAGGGGGCAGAGCTTGAGGAGACAAGATGACACTCTCCCTGCCCTGTCCTGTGGGATTAATGGCAGTGAAAAATACACCATGAGGCTGACCCCTGAGTGACTTTGTTCCTGACGAGAAATGAGCACAGCTTGGCTAGTGCGGTCACCGGAGATCTCTCCTTGCTCCCTAAGACCACATGGAATGAGCTCCACCCTTCTGAGTCAGCATGCCCCACACCACGCACACATGCACACACCACACACAGAGACACACACACCATACACACATGCACACTCACACACCCCCGCATACATACACAGCCCACACACATGTACCCTACATACATACACACACCACACACCACACACCACACATACATACACACACATACACACAAACACATAACACGCCACACACAGAGAGACACACACATACACACACACATCACCATCTGAGCAGCAAACACTATGTTTTACTCTTAAGGAGATGCCAAGTGTGATGTGCACATCTGTGTTCAGTACTTAGGAGGCTGGGGCAGAGAACCACACGTTAGACTAGCCAGCACTACATAACAACTATCTAAAGACAATGAAAGGAGGAATAAAGGGGGATAGAAGGAGGAAGAGAAAGAAAGGAAACCAGATAGGAGAGGAGAGGAGAGAGGAGGAGAGGGGAGAGGAGAGAAGGAGGAGAGGATGGAAGAAGGAAGGGAGGAGACAGGAGGAGGGGAGGGGAAGGGAAGAAAGGAGAGGAGAGGAGAAGGGAAGCAGAGGAGAAGGGAGGAGGAGAGAAGAGAGGAGAGGAGGGAAGGGGAGGAGGGAAAGGAAGGAGAGGGGAGGAAAGGAGGGGAGGGGAGGAGAGGGCAGGGGAGGAGAGGGCAGGGGAGGAGAGGAGAGGAGGGGAGGAGAGGAGGGGAGGAGAGGAGAGGACTCAACCCATCAGTGCCCCTTGAGGACCGTCAGCATCAGGAGCCACGCTCCACACACTTTCCCGTGAATAAACTAGCTGCTGGAAAGGGATGAGACTACTCCTCCCCCCCCCCCCGCCCCATCCACCTCTGCCAAATTCAGAGCCGCAGCAAAGCTCTGGTGACAGAAAACATAATCCTGAGCTGAGAGGTGTCAGCGCGATCCTAGGATGAAAAGGATCTGAGCCCCTCGGATCAGCCATCCACCTGGTGAATAATTCAGGCTGTGCCACGCTGGGGCAACTGGACCGAAGGCCAGGAGAGGCCAGGCAGAGCAGTGTCCCTTTGGGCCACTTCTCACTTTTTCCTGTATAGCCGTGGGCAAACCAGCTAGGGCTGACCTTATCCCTTTGAAGAGAATTTTCACGGACAAGGCTATTTTCACTACCATGCATCCTTAAAGTGCCGTGTGTACAGGGAGGAATGGACCCAGTCCCTATGACTTCCACTGCCAGCACACCAAGAGCTCCCTACAGAGCTGGACTGCAGGAGAGAGATCCTGCTGGGGCCTCTGGGTTCATCCAGCAGAGGAGATGGCTGGGGCCGACTGGGACTGCGACCCAGGAGGAACTGATTTCTGTCCCAGCTCGGCACATGCTGCACACAGCACAGATCCCAGTTCAAAGGAGTGGGCCTGGACCACTCTCCAGCAGAACCCTTGGCTGGCGACTGCCAGGGAAGGAGAGGCATGAGGCAGAACCAGCTGTCTAGACTCCCTCTCCCCGCCTCAGGAAAGCACACCGCAAATGGACTGTCTTTACTTAGCAAGGCCGTGAGTCTGAGCCTCCAAAGCAAGGCCTTGGACACCCAGGAAGGTCAGATAGCAAGTCTCATCCCCCTGCCCCCACGTGCGGGACCCATACTCACAGGAGACCTGCCTCCACTGCAGGGCAAGCTTATTCCTCTGCTCGGGGCCACTGCCTGGTGCCAGCATGGTGGAACCCACACTCTCTGCAGCTCTGGAGAGAGAGAGCCCCTCAGCACGCACCAGTTGTCAGTCCTGAGAGAGGAGAGAGAGAGAAAGAGAGAGAGAGGAAGGGAGGGAGATAAGTGGAGCGAAACATTTGGAGCCTGTTCCAGCCCAGGGGTTAGGGACAAGGCCCAGGTGTCCCTTTACACTCCTCGTTCCCCTCCTGTTGCTCTCCCTGGGATACGCTGTAGGGAGGGAGTCAAGAGGAGCAGGCAAGTTGTTTGCTTCCTAGGCGCACTGGGGGGGGGGGGCAGTAACTTCCGGCTGAATCCCAACTCAGCCCCCTTTTTCCCTCCCCTGCCTTTCCCTGACTCCCCCGAGGCCTCTCAAACCTTGGTAGGGTTTACAAATGATTTCACCGCAATATTGCTCCCTTCCCCCAGGCTTACCACGTCCCAGGTGGGAAAATCAAGGCACACTTCTCCTAGGTAAAGGAATGAGGCCCCAGCTCCTGGTCCCCTCATTTCTCCACCCGGATCACCCCCGCCCCAGCTTACCATAGCCGTGGGGAGGCAGAGGCTGGGCCCTTCCCTTCGTAGTGCTTGCTGATGGGATTGGAGTTGCTGTGCGGGCCCCTGCTTCTGATCCCACTGTCACCTTGAGGTGAATCACAGTGAGCTGTCTTCTGCCCACTAGCAGATCTGTAACTATTTCAGCTCGAGGTTGTGTCGGGGGAGTGGTCCTGCTCTTCGGCCACTGGCCCAGGAGAAACTGAGGCCTAGAGAGGGTGAAATGGCAGAGGGCTAGAAGTATGTTAAGTGTAGGCAGAACTGGGCTCCTTATCCTTTCCGGGGCCTGCCACAACCCGGTGTCTCCTGAAGGGGACCCAGGCCTTCTTAGCACCCCAGTTCCCTCCAGACATAGGTAAGAGCTATGAGATGAGAAGCCAGAGCCTGCACCTTGTCATCTCCATCAGAGGGGAGGCTAACACCACTGCAAGGCACTAGGGACAGTGGGAACTAGAAAACGGGTCATATGAGGAGGAGGCTATCTTGGACCCCAGCTCCCTTTTAGCACCCAAAGGGCACTGTTTCTGAAACCACTCCTCCCAGAGTAGCAGAAAGCTTGGCCTTTTTGACTACCAAGTTCATGGCCCCTGTATAGTTCCAGTGTCAGCCCTCATTGTTCCGGCCGGCTAGTCCCTAAGGTCCCAGCAAAAGACGGAATGAGCTGATTCTGAGGAGATGACCAGAGCAGCCAGGATGCTTGGGGCGTTAGAAGCCTGCACAGTCTGGCCAAGGTTTCCCTCAGTGTTTGGGGAACGTTCTCATTGCTTTCTCCCATCCTAACCCCATTTTGTTGGTTTACTGTTTTCTTGTTTGTTTATTGTCTGAGCCCATGCTGCCCTGGAACTTGTTCTGTAGACCAGGCTGGCCTCAATTTTGCAGAGATCTGCCTGCCTCTGCCTCCCAAGTGCTGGGATTAAAGGCGTGCACCATAATGCCTAACCTCCCTTTCCACTCTCTACCCCACTTTATCCCACCCTAGTGATCTTCAGGAAGCCACCAAGGTGACCCCATGCTTCTGTGACCTATGCTGCCTTCAGATACTCTGCTCTGCTTCCAGCAAGGGCAGCTTGCTCAGTGTCCATCTGCCAACCTTGACTTTACCTCCCCTCTTCCCAGTTAGGAGGCAACAGCTCGTGAAAGGTCCAGCAGGTGCTGTACCCCAAAACTGAGCATGGCGGTAAGTCAGCCATGGAGGCTAAGCGCAGAAGCCTGGCCCTTGCTGCCATATGTGTGGGTTATGGCGGTTACAGTGCCTTGACCTCAGTTCTGGTATTGTCCTGGCTCAGGGGCACAGGCAGAGTCTGTGGCTCAAATCCATGACCTCCATCTCCTTCCAACACTCTGCAAACTCCGCCCTAGCTTTCCAACCCCAACAATGACAATCCGATGCTCAGTGGGTGGGAACAGAGTGGGTACGGGGAGGCACACATCACCTAAGGAATTTCGGCAAAGGCTCCCCCTCATCTTGAGCCCACGATGGGCGTCTTCATCATCACGTGAGGTCAGTTTCACAGCGTCCTGAGCCGTAGGCTGTGGCCAGTCTCAGGTGCCCGTTCCATGTCATGCCCACTGTATTCTGATTCAGTAGATTTCTGTCCCTTCTATGCAATGCCCAAACAGACCTGCATCTCTGAGAAATCTCCCCCTCACTATGGCCCCCAGCCCTGACCTTCAAAGCAGCAGTCACACTACAGGTCACAGCACCTGTTAAAGAGCAGGCAGGTTACAGCCACCCAAATGTGTAGCTATAACCAGTTTACCAAGGTTACATGGCAAGTGAGGATGGGTTACAGCCTTCTGAGTCAGACTGTTTATCCACTTACTGACGGCTGTCAGCCTGCAGGAGCCCAGCAAGGGAAAGGCTTGTGTGTGCACAGAGCTCTCGGGCACAATCTTGAAGCATTGTATGCAGCAGAGAGAAGTGGGCACAGAAGGAGAAATATGCGACTAAGCATGTCATAACACGTGTGCTTGCACACATGCCTTCCCACACACAAATACCAGATCTGTGCAGCTAGGCGTGTACATAGGCACATACATGCACACCCACACACATACACATGCCTTGCTGGCAACATTCCAGCACTTCATTCAGGCAGCAGAGGGATGCCTCACAATTCCAGCAAACCCCAGCAGGGGGACACAGGGACACTTCCAGCCTACTAAGAAGATCTGCTGAAAACCCCACAAGGCAGCCACGAAGACAGGCCAGTTTTCTTGTTCAGCCTAGGTAGCGCTGAAGGCCCAGGGCAGCTCCTGCTCCCATTTCTGTGCCCTCCCACAGCGGGACAGGCTCCACCTGAGATTCCCTGAAGGTTCTTCCACCCACTCTGCCCCTTCAGCGCCACCCTGCCTGTGATGGCCAGGAACCACGCATGAACAGCGCAGCCCAGGGTGTCTACTGAGATGGCAGAAAGGACTCTGGTGGTTGTTATCCTCTGGAGAAAAGAGGAGACATCTAGAAGACACTGCGGCTCTCTCTAGGTAGCTGATCTACCTCCTCTGATCTGTCAGTGCCTTCCGGATCCTCGGATCCTCGGAGCGAGGTTGAGAGGGGCGCTTCCTAGCCTCTCCGCCCCAAGCCCACCCACAAAACACCCAGCCAAAGACCTTTCCACCCTGAAACAGCAGAGACTCCTCCGGAAAGGGGTGACCTATATTGGAAAGCAGAGGACAGCTGCTGTTGCTGCTGCTGTTGCTGCGTGCTGCTGCAGGCACTGACTAACTGCTGGAATAAATGAACACTCTGTGGGAGTGGGAGACAGAATAGAGTTGGAGGTCCTGCCAGAGGATCCTCTGTCCATCCACCCCCACTCCCAACACACACACACCTCATGCTGCAGCTCATGGGCACTGTATTTGGGGCCTGATAGGAAAACGAACCTGCCTTTGTTCTAGCCCCAGGAACAGAGAGCCGAGGAACAGGACTGGGCCCAGCAGGGGGTCCCAGACTCCACTGGGCTCTTGGGCCCAGCAGGGGGTCCCAGACTCCACTGGGCTCCGGTTTAGAGAACTGGGCTGAGAAGCTAGGAGTGGCCAAACTTGGTACCTCCCGAATCAGAAACATGTGATTTTGACTCTGATGGGCTTGTAAAAGCAGATAGTCTGGAACCTTTCAGAGATGCCAAGTCTCAGGTCCCACCCAGACTCACTGAGTGAGAATCTACCCAATACTAAGATCTCTGGCCAATAGGGGACATACTCAAGATTGAGAAGTATAGGACAGCCCTCTCAGCCAGGGTCTAGCAGCTACCCATCTCTAGGCCAGGGAACTGGAGACACCACAGGCTGCAGACAGTGAGCCTGGTGGAGCTGGAACAGAAAATGGCAGATATAAAGGAAAAATAAGTCTGGGGCTCACCAAAGATCTTAAGTTACCTTGCCTAAGGCAGAGCAAGACAAGGGCACCAACCTGAGGGTCTCCAAGCCTTTACATGGGAAGATGTTAATGGCTACAGTCAAAGAGCTACACGGTGTTCTTGGCGTTCATACAGTCCAGTAAGATTAGAGTAACTATCAGCATCATAGGGAAACTGAGGCATGGAAAAGCTTGGGAAAACGGAAGACTATAGATTGGACTTGAGTTGCCTGACCACAAACTGCTGATCTAGTTGTCCATCCCTCGGGTGAAGGTCGAGTCAGATACAGGGACAGACGGCCCTCATTCGTACAGGACTTTACAGTGTATCTCATCGCTGTCTCACTGGGGTTGAGCAAAGAGTTATTCCTGTCCCCATCCTACCCATAGGCTGAATAGCCTAGAAAACCACTCCTGGCCGGGAGCTGGGGGATATGATGGGGCGGTCCAGGAATGAAGGGTTGGAGCAGAAGGCCGGTGAGGCAGGAGCGTAGCTGTGTGCACTCTGAAGTTCCACGTGCTCCTGCTAACCCAACGGCTGCTGTACCCATTAGAGCTAGGGCGTGGGAGCTGTTTCCCCTGGAAGCCCAGCTGCCCCCTCCCCCAGCCTGGAGCCGCCAGTCAGACTTGCTGTGCAGAGCATCAAGGTTAGGTTGCCAGAGTACACCTGCTACCTGCTCTCCGATTGCTCCCACAGATGTAGGCCTACTCTCCCTATGATGTGTGCTCACACTCAACTAAAACTGAAAAAAAAAAAAAGCCACCTCACCCCAGGCTGGGATCCACAGCATTCCTCTGAATTCCTTCTCAGTAACCCACAGTACCCCCGCAGCACCCCTCAAATCAAGTGTGCACAACATGCGGCCTGTGAGTACCCTCAGCTCCCTGACGCCTGGGCCAACTGCTGTGCACATCCTCCCACGAATCTCCCCCAGATCAAGGCTTCTGCACCAACGCCAGCTCCATACACCAAGAGGGGGAGAGAAAGGCATGCATGGGCTACTTGACCCCCTTGGCTCTTCAGGGAGGTTCTAGTGGGTGGCTGAGCTAGGGCGGGAAGCCTGCAAGTCATCCTGCCCCATCCCAGAGGACTTCCGGGGAGCCTGGACATCTGGTCTGAGCAACTGGAATGCCATGAGGCCCAGAACACAGAAAAATGAAATGTCCCCTGGATTGGCGTCACCAGTCTGGCCATGAGGCCCTTCTAGGAAGTACCCCACATCTGCTCATCAGTTACCTCTCCGCACATACCGCCCAGTGAAGCAGTTTCTAACCCCCCCCCCCCGCCCCAGATGTCTGCTTGGAACAGCCACGCGCCCTCCCTCCAGGTTCCTCTCAGCACACTGCCCTCTCACTTCCAGCTTCCTTGCCAAATTCTCCCTGCCTCTGACAGAAACCCTGGGAAGCAGAACAGGAAGGTCCTTGAGCCACCCAGCATACACCAGGGTTGCTCTGGGAAGCCAGAGAGTCCATTGACAACCCAGAAGGCTCCCATGGTTCACTGCCTCCCTGGGCAGAAGCCAAGACAGATCACCCACCCCATACCCAAGTTTCACCCTGACTCCCCCCTCTTCCCAGCATTGTACACACACATGTACACACCACACACACACACACACACACACACACACACTAGTTTCCTCCCTCACCGCCCACCTGACCAAAGCAAGACCCTGGCTCTTGATCTTCGCACTTGAGAAATGAGAATAGGGTACGCTTGTCCTGCAAACAGATATATCCTCTAGCCGAACCTCAAAGAACACAGCTAGGGGGCTTAAGAAGCCCGCCTCTTTGCCTGCCCTGCCTGGCTTTCCCCGGCTCCCTCTTCTGGCAGAGACGGAGCCCTCCTGCAGTGGGAAGGTGGGGGTGGGAGCGCTGGGCTCTTCTTGGCAGCTTGGAAGCTGATGTTGGATTTCCCTACCAGCTGGACTTCCCCCGCCCAGGGCCACATGCCGGCTCCTTCCCCTCCCCCCACCTGCTGTAGTTATCTAAGCTGCCGGCCTGTCAATCTGAGTCACACAAGGCAATGCCCAACAAACCCTGGCAGCCTGGTGCCAACATCCCCACCACCACCCTGGAATGCAGACAGCTGGGGGTGGGAGGCAGAGCAACCAATCAGAGCCCAGCCCCAGACCTGCCGGCTATACAGGAATTTGAACTGCAGATTCCTGGGCAGAATCCAGCATTATGAAATGGGCCTGGGGCTCCTGAAAACCAATGTCCTGCTCCAAGCCGGGCATCTGTGCCCATGAGAGCCAAGCAGCCAGGTGAATGTGACCTGGCTGTGCACTGCCCCTATACTGAGTGCCCAGTGCTCCTAAGGCGTCTGGCCCACCTGCTGCAAAGGCCATTATGCAGTGGCGGGCCACCTAAGCATCTCTTGTTCCTAGTTAGTCTAGCTCTCCAGTGTGCTAAAATCAAGGCCTGGGTTTGTAAGGAAGAACTACCAGACACCCCTTCTTCACTCCCAGCCACACCCCCACCAGCAGGCTCCATCAGGACTGCAAAGACGGTTCCAACTAGCAAGGGCTCCTTTGCACCCTTGCCCAAGGACAGCTACCTGAGGGCCAGCAAACCCAGCCAGAGCAACTGGTATAAAGGTCCAGCCCTTGCCTCACTCAGGGGGGGTCCTCCACCCTCTGGTCCCATTCCAAGCCTCTGTATACCAGCCTGTCTCCAACACCCAAGCTGTCTCCCCCTCCTCTGGCTTGCCGCTCCTCCTGCTGCAGGGACATTTCTATGCTATCTGGGGCCATCATGTGGCACCGACTCTGCTCTCCTCCCTGTCCCCTCCTCCCTACCCCCTCCTTAACAGAAAACACAGCTATGTCCCCAGCACTGAGGGGTCAGAGTTTCTAATGCTCTGTACCTTTGGGTTGCCCAGGTGTCTGGTCCCCCCACCCCACCCCAGTAACTGCCCTAGTAAGGAAGCCCTGCTAACCCTGCCGGGCCAGGTGGCCCAACGTAGATGACCCTAGTTCCTTATATTCGAGCCAACCTCCTTTCGCGCCGACCCATTCTCTCCCAGAAGCTCCTCGCAACTCACCTTTTTGCACTGGGACCTGATGCTCAGACCAGGTAGCTGGACACGGGCAGCTCGGCAGGCAGGACGCGGGGATGTCGGGTCTGGTTCAGGGCAGCTGGAGCCTGGGCAGCGCCTGTGAAGGAGGCGGACCGCAGGCTGAGCTGCCGCTGCCGGGGAGGGGGTTGCGGGGTCAGCGACAAACTGAAGCGAAAGAGGGAGGGCGGGAGGAAGACAGACCGAAGAGGGGGAGAGGCAGAGGGAGCAGAGCGCGCGTGCTCAACAGCGAGCGAGCGAGCAGAGGGAGGAGAGCGCGCAGCGGAGTGACAGCTGGGGCGCATCTGCGGTGTCGGGCACGCGCATCGGTCGGCGAAGCTCTGTGGTAGCAGGAGAGCGTTGTGGGTGAATCACCCCTGCCCCAGATCAAAGGAACCGCGCCTCCTCTCACCACCCAGCACTCTCAGTAGCGGCCACCTCTGTCTGTCCGTTTGGAAGGCAGGATCTTTCAAGGGGTACAGGACCCAGACCACAGCTTTACGGACTGACTTGGATCCCAGACCTGATGGGGGACACTGGGTGTCTTCTGTGTCTGAGTCCCCCTTTAAAGCCTGATTTCTCTTGCAAGAAGAGTCCTGAGGGTCCTCAGCGATGCGGAGGGAACCAAGGGCCCTCTAGACAGGGGGCTGAGCCTCTAGATGTGACCACCATTGGTCAGGACTATTTAGAACAGGGTGTCGGAATAGGTAGCTGCTGCCTGGAGGACGAGATGCCCGATAAGCACAGAGACCATGTGCCTCCATGCCCACAGGGAACCCTGGAGGAGCCAGCTCCTTGCTGGTCTAAAGGATGGTCAGACACGTGAAGGGGAAAGCTGCATCCAAGGATGCAAAGGCCTCCAGGAGCCAAGACAAAACCTGCCTAACAAACTGCTGTTCACCAGGACAGTGTTCCAACCAAAGCTGAACTGAGCCAGGGGCTAAGATAGCCAGCCTTCCCCGCCTGCAGCATGAAACCCCCCTCATTCCTTTACATCCTGAAAGTCTGTCTGTCCAGCAGATGGTCTAGCCTGTAGGTGACACAGCAGAGGTGTGTGTCTCAGCGTCCTTCAAGTTATATTCAGGGCTGGGGTCAAGGGCTGGAAGCCTTTTGATTCAGGATTGCTATCCAAGACAGATGCTCAAGCCCCCACGTACTCTGCACCTACCCTTCCAACAAGGCAAGCTGCCACTGCCCTAACACACTCCCACCTCCTGTCTCAGGAAAACAGGCCCTTCAGGAGCTTGGTGCTCTCTGCCCATAGTGATCTACCCCGACATAAAAGCTCAGCTTCAGGCTGGCAACATGGCTCTTCTCGTAGGTTATGGTCAAGCCTGATGACCTGAGGTTGACGCCCCCAGAAGCCACATGGTAGAAAAAAAATAACAGACTCCCTCAGGTTGTCCTGGGAATGGATGGACACACACACAAGTAAACTTAACACCAACATACCAACATCCCCTCTGCAGAGATGTTTTCTCTGGGTCATTTTATGGTCCTGATCACAGAAAAATTTGGTAGCTTTCTGTCTTGTATTGTGAGCTATTTGGGGACAACTGACCTTACGCTCTCCCTATCCCCCATAGTTCTAGGCCGTCTTGTTGGCTAAGTCTATCCTTTTGCTAAGTAACTGGTAACCTGGAGTCTAGCTGAGTTCTTGCCTTATAGACCAAGCAGGTGGGTTGGGGTTCTGCAGTTGCCTCCAGCCCTGGAATCCTAGGACCCTGGTGCTCACTGAGTGCTAATGCTGCAGAAATCAGGCCCCTCCTACACAGCCTCTGTTCAGCTAGTCATAGGCCAAGAAGGTTCACAAGAGGGAGTGTGTGTGTGTGTGTGTGTACTTGTGGTACATATGTATGTCTGTGTCTGTGTTTATGGTACGTATATCTCTGTGTGTGTCTGTGCTTATGGTAAATTTGTGTGTCTGTATCTGTGCTTGTGGTACATGTGTGTGTCTGTGTTGTGTCTATGCATGTATGTGTATCTGTGTGTGTCTGTGTTTGTGGTACATGTGTGTGTCTGTGTCTCTTTGTGTGTCTGTATCTCTGTGTGTGCTTTTTATTTTGCCATTCCTGGTGACAGAGCAACACCGTAGAGCAAGGATATATGTCCCACTAAGGCTCCAGCTGCCTGTAGCCTTCCTGGAGTGCTCTGTTAGGCTATGGGCCTGAATGAGAGGACATTAAAGCACTGGGGTCTTGGAGGAAAACACAAGAACCCTGTGGAGAGATAGCAGGAGGGGAAGGTAGGAGGCAGCCTGAGGCAGGGAGGACAGGGACAGGGGAAGGACCCAGGTAAATTATGGCAAGTAGAAGGAGATCTGAGATTCATCCTTCCTTCATGGCAGCTCCCTCACAAACTAAGGCCAAGGTATAAAACAGGGACCCATCAGACCCAATCATAGGGAAGATCACTCAATTACACCCAGGGAAACCACGCAGGAAGCCTTCCCACCCTGGCCTCTTTGCCTGTTTCGCCTCATCAAAAATTCTGGGCAGATGCAGCCACACAGCAGGTAGCAGGTACCCAGGAAGATGGTTCTCCCAGGCACTCCGGGAACTCCTGGAGTCCACCATCCCAGCAGAACAGGGGCACTAGGCCTGAAGGCTGAGCTCTGTAAATGTTCTATGGCAGGATTAAAACCTAGGAGGATGGGAGGAAGAGCCTCTGGCAGGACGACTCCATTGCTGAAGACGATATGTGTGCCCCCCCCCGCCCCGCTCCCACCCCACTTCTGTGTCAGCCTCTTGCCTTCTTACCAGAAGGAAGATCCGCTTTGTTTCTCACTTAAATCTCTCATTTCCCAGTGGATTGCAGAGGGACTTGGGGCACAGGGTTAACCTCTAAGCTGACAGATTAGTGTGAGCAATAACAAGGAGTCTGGAAAGGTCTGAACCTTTGCAGTCACGGAAGTGAGGTCACTGCTCCCCCCAGTCAAGGGCTGGCACAAATTGACTAAGAAACATTTACTGAACCCTGTTAAGTGACAGTGTGACTCTAGATCTAAGAATCAGGGCTCCATCTGCTTGCCCTCTGTGAACCCCACTCCACGGGGTGAGATAAATCATATCACTTAGGAAATAAAGCAATACGAGGGGGGGGCAGCTTTATCTGGGGAGAGCAGGAAGTCTCTGCCAGGTGATGAGGTTGAGTTGATTACAGGCAAGTTGAGTTCTAGGCAGGAGCATTCCAGAAAGACGCTTGATGAGAATGTCCTGGAGTACGGATGAGCTGACCCTGTTCGAGGAAGACAACAATTCAGGCTGAAACCAAAAACACCAGCAAGGCGGCCTCGTGGGTTTGCAGGGATCTAAATTTTGCTCTAAGTGGGAAGGCAGGATGGGGTCAGTAAAGAAGGGATGGGTTTTGGTCTTCTGGGAGATGACTGTGCCACATGGAGAAAGGCCAGAGTGGGAATCTGGGACCCTAAAGGCACAGGGCAAGAGAATGTCGGCTTGGCCACAGTGGTCACAGCAGAAAGTATTTCTGTATGGAGTCCTGGAACCAAGGTCTTCAGAACCTAGGTGGACAAAGAGAAATGACAGTCATGAGAGAAATGAGCCTTGTAATGCAGACTATACAAGACTACTTCAGGTAGAGGGTAGGGTAGCTTCTGAACACGTGCAAATGCTTTTGGAGCTCGCAGTAACACAGTGACGCGGGAAGCTACTGAGATATTCCAAATTCTGAAAGGATAGAAAGATGGCTTTGTGGTGTGACCACCACTAACCTGCCCTTTGCTAAGCCCTCATGCCTACCCGAGTAACCCTGAAGCCTGGCTTTCGCTGAGGCAGAATCAAACCCTGCCTTCTGCAGACTTCCCATATGAGAGTCACAGAGCTTAGAAACTGTGTGAGTCTGTGGGACACACCCCGAGCTGCAGAAGAGAGAGCTAGAGTCCCATTCTAGAGCCAGTCTGGGACCCTTTGACCACTGGAGCCGGGTGATGGAGGAGGGTCATCTGTCTATCTGTTGCTTTCATTGGTTAATTAATAAAGAAACTGCTTAGCCTGATAGGTCAGAACATAGGTGGGTGGAGTAGACAGAACAGAATGCTGGGAAGAAGGGAAGTGAGGCAGACTCCTCATACAGACGCTATAGCTCTCCTCTCCAAGATGGACGCAGGTTAAGATCCTCCCCGGTAAGCCACCACCTCGTGGTGCTACACAGATTATTAGAAATGGGTTAATCAAGATATGAGAATTAGCCAGTAAGAGCCAGGCAGTATTTAAAAGAATACAGTTTCCGTGTAATTATTTCGGGTAAAGCTAGCCGGTGGCTGGGAGCCCTCCTGGGCGGCAGGAAGTGGCCCACCTCTCCATCTACAGCCGGGGATGAAGTCAAATAAGCTCCCTTAGCTCCCAAGGAGCTGACTCTCCTCAGTATCAGCACCACTGCCCTGTAATAGCACTCCGAAGCAGAGTTCAGCCCTGTTTCTGTAGGTGAAGGAAGTCTGTGTGTGATGAGCTCCCAGGGTAATCCTCCGTGAGAAAGGGAGAAGAGCCAAGTGGGGCCCCTGCACCCTCAGAGAGAAAGGTGAATGACGAGGCGCACCACACTCGCTGGGACAGAGCATTTCCCCACTTGGGACAACATGTCACGTCTGTGTTTCCCTGACACAGGTCTACGTGCCCCTTGCCCCCTGCCCCCACCTACCCCTTTCAGTCACCTGGACCTCCAGGCTCAGCTGTCACTTTCACAGAGGCTCCCCAGACCCACCTCAGAAATCCCGAGACTGTGCTGGAGGGGAGGGGCCTTCTAGGACCTCAGGTGTTGCTGTTGCTGTTTTAACTGCAGATTAGCCGCAGGACGCTACTGTCCAACATGGAAGTTGCCATCTGTATGGGGTTAGCCACATTTACGTTAAGATAAAATAAAACCAAAAACCCAGGCCCTCGATTTCAAGAGCCACATATGGGGTCTCCGGCAGCCATGGTGATTGATGGCTACAGTTTGGGACAGGACAGGTGTAGGGCGTCTCCAGCATCTTATAAAACTCATCTACATGGGGAGGCTTTGGGTCAGGGTCTCCTGGGACCTGCTACAGCATCACCTATTGCCACGAGAAATGCAGGCTCCCAGGCCTAGGCTGCCTCCTGGGTGGGAAACTCTGCAGGGACTTCACCTGCCCTTCAGGGGGCTTTAGTCTAGAATCCAACCTTGCACTTTTTCCCCCTGAGTCTCAACAGTAGTTCAGGCTTGTACAGAAGCATGACAAGTTCAAGACTAGCCTGGGCAACTTAGCAAAACCCCGTTTCAAAATGAGAAACACCAAAACGGCTGGGTCTGCAGCTTAGGGGCAACGGCCATCTCAATGCATTGCGCAAGAAAGCCAGATGCGGATTGTGGCCCTGGAGAACCCAGCGCAACAGCGGCACTGGCTGCTCCCTAATTTCTTTTCCCCTCAAACCTCCCCAGGATACAGGTGCATCGTGGAAGAGCCACGAGGCCCTGAGAATCAGAATGGCATGGAGTGACTTTAGACTTTCCTAGGCAGGTGGTATAATGATGGAGAACCCTGAGCTTCCCCATGCCTGGCATGTATGAGAGGCCTGCAAGGACTCCGAGCCCGACCCAGAGGGAAGAACTCAGAGCTATGCCTTAGAGGTTCAGAACCTGCTCATTGTTACTTCCTGGCTGGCGACTGAGCTGAGCCACTAGGAACCCCTGCTCTCTGCTCTGTTCCCTCATCCCGTGAGGTCTAAATGAGGCTAGTGCCAGCCTAGGAAGGATTAAACACCCTTATGCCTGTAAAGGTGCCTAACTCACCCAAAGCCCCCAAACGCCTTTAATATTATTCTAGGTACTAAGAAGTTGGCCTAGTTTGGACTCTCTTTCTGCCCAGCATAGCCAGCCTTTTCTTTCTAGTCTTTGGCCCCAAGTTCTCCTGTCGCTCTTTGTCCCAGATTTCTCTTAGTATGTGAGTGCCCCCTTGGGTTCTCCAGACCTATTTGGGAATCAAAGAGGCAGATGGCGCTTGTGTTGGGGGACATCAAAAGAGAAGCATTTGTGCACTGGCGGCATTCCTGGTCTCCGGGAAATGTCCTTGCAAACTCCGGTGGTCGGCTTATGGCTCAACCTCCGACAACTTAGGTTTCTTCCTGAGTGCCTCCAGGGACTGTGCCTCCAGGGAGTGTCACACCAGGACTGAGATCCACGGGGCCTCTGAGTTTCCAGACTCAGACTTAGCTCGCCACTTTGGGCCCCACGATCTTGCACAAACAATGCTCTAGCCAGCCTCTCTTTACAAATGTTTCAAGGGAGAAGCACCAGCCAGAGAGTGTGCCCTGAGCTCCCAGGGATCAGAGAGGAAGCCATCCATCCTCACGGTTCTCTGGCATCTCTTGGTATTGCTTCTCCCACAGGGAGCATCTCCTGGCCTGGATCCCCTTCTCTAATCCCCTGGGTCCTATTCCAGAGGCCCTAGATTCCCTTCGGTGACAAAGGCTCCATCATTCCCGCCTGCCCATGCTTCTCTCCCCACAGCCGCCGCCACGGATAAGTTTTCTCTCTTTCAGTGGATTCTATTCTTTTCTGCTCTCACTGTTTCCTCCTCCCCCAAATATTCATCTGGCCTTGCCCCTCCTCTTTCTTGCTCTCTGCAGCTGTGGGCATCCAGATGCAAGTGGACTACCTCCAGCGCCAGTTCTGGGCAGCCATGAAGCAGGTAGGCATCATAGGGAAGGACTGTCCCCACAGCCCAGCCCATCAGTCCCACAGGGGACATCTCCACTCTATCTCTGCCTTCCCTGCCCTTCCCTGGACCCTGCATATCGGGCTTCTTCCCCCTATCCCCACCCCCACTCCAGTGCTCTGTCCCCTAATCAGATCCAGGGAAAAGGGTAAAACGGCCACTGCTGTTGTCCCCAAACTACCCTAGCCTTGCCTGCTACAGAGTAAATTAGAACTTCACTTGGCTCCTCCCTCTAAAGAAGGACACACACCAGAAATCTTCACTGTCCTCTGTATGTCCTTCTAGCCTGAGTCATCCTCTCAGAGAAAAGTCCCGTCTACTCCTTCACTCCAGGCTGCCTTGGGCACAGTGAGCTGTGTAGTGAAGGTAGAAAGGCCACAGAGGTGGAGGGGACCAATAAGAACCCACTCACCATGTGAAAGTCCTAGTGCCCTGCAGGCAGGTGGCCTGTGTTTGTCCTCAGGAGAGCACGGCCTGCTGCTCAGTTCCCTGCCTGCTGGGAGACACCTACATGTGTGTACATGACCCTCATAGACTCCATTTGCTAAGGCCGGTCCTCCACATACAACTGGCCCTTCACAAATGCGCTGCACAAATGTGTATATACAGACACACATACAAGCACACACACACCACAGGCAGACCTTCCTCATACAAGACACAGTCCAAATGTACCCACATACAACAAACTCTTCATAACCATAGCACACTGCACATATACAGGTATGCACATGTACACAGAATATACAAGCCATGTGTATACCACATGTAAAATGTATCCAAACACTCCACATACACAGCACACATAGACCTACCTTTAACACACATTGTGTACATATAGATGCATAGTTCACATGATGCTACACATAGGCACACACACACACACAAGCACACATGCACATGTACTTGCACCCACAAAAGCACACACTGTTCACAATGTCCCCTCTTCCTTCCAGTGCGGCACTGAGGAGGGTCCGTGCCTGAAGAGCTGCGAGGACACTGTAAGTGACTCCTGAAGGAGGGCACAGGCGGAAGTTCACTGTCCTGTGTCCCCCTGTGAACTACTTCCCTCCTCCCTGAGCCTGCCTGCAGGGCTCACCCTCCTCAGCCCTTTGAGGAGGGCTAGAGCCAGCCGTGGCCCTGGCTATGACCTCCTGTCCTGGCCTCTCCCCCAGGATCTGGATTGCTTCCTTATAGACAACAATGGCTTCATTCTGATCTCCCAGAGACCCCAAGAGGTAAGTGACCGAAGAGCCAGAACTTAGAGAAAAGGGCTTGGGGGAGGGGAGCCAAGACCCTTAGCAGCTTTATCAGCCAAGCAGGCCTAAAGCTGGGGCCTTCGCCCCACTTTGGAGCAAATCTGGGTGGGAGGAAAGGAGTTGCCTTCCGTCCAAACCACAGAGCAAGAGGACAAACGCAGAGCGGCATTCAAAGGCAGAAATACTTCTCCCCCTTAGCTGTGACTAAGCTGACCTCTCTGCCATGTGACATGTCACGTCTGTGAGGAGCCACTCAACAAGCTCACGGCTAAGGGAGGGCCTGGCTGCACTGCCACTAAGTGTCCTGCTCCCTCCCCCGCACAACCTTGGGGACTTTCGAGCCCCACCTCTGCTGCTTGTATCTTGCCCTCTCTTACCCATCCCCCCACCCTTTTCTATCATCATCGTCTCCAGGGGGACTGTCCCCACCCCTGTGCTCCTCTCCTTTCTGGGTCCCCTTGTAGAAAATTTTACTGCTGCCACCAAGCCAGGGTGCCAACAGGCTAGCAGGGACATGGGGGGCAGCCCTTACTTTATCCAGCAGCCTGCCTTCCCTCCAGCCACCTACTCAGACAGAAGAGGAAGTCACGATGGCAGTTTTATATCTGCTCAGCCACAAATCAGACCCTGAAATTAGCCAGGGATTATACTTTAAATCGCACTTTTAAAAGAAGCTTGTTCCACCCTGAGCCAAACCTGAACACAAACACCTGAAGCGGTTCTTTGACACAAGCCTACAGCCCTAAATAACCTCCAAGAGGAATTTCGCCTGCAGGCATGTGTTCAGTTCGGTTAGCAGCTTCCAAGATCTGGGCCTCAGTTTTCTCCTCTGGAAAAGCACAGGCTGGATCACCTGAGGTCAGGGTTCAACCCTAAGCTGGAGGCTCCAGAAGCCTGGATAGTACAAGTTGCAGGATCAGAGCTGACGCTGCCCAGGGTCCTGGCCAAGGTAGTCTCTGTCCCCCAAAGCCAAACTGTAGCCTCATCCAGGCAGGGCTGAGAGTCCGTGGAAATTGTCAGAACGTGACAGGAAGTAGAGCCGGGACATCAGGAGACTGGGCACAGATAGAGTCAAGATAGAAGGGGACCAAAGGACCATGGGACGGCTCCCCGGGAGCAGTTCTTAAATAGCCCGCTTGGCATGCAGCAAGAGCTGAGAAGAGAAAGCAGATTTTACTGTTGCTTCCTACTGGAAAGGTCTAGGCTGTCAATCAGGACACTGCCAGAACTCTGACCAGTCACTAGTCCTGGCACCCGCGTGTCCAGTCCTGCCTGCCCTTCTTCACACAGAGACGGTCCATTCTGTCAGAAAAGGAAGGAAAACAGAAGTTGACTATATGGCTGAAGGGGCCTAAGGACACTCATACGCTGGTCCCAATGCCATACGATCATGACTGACTGTGGGGCCTGGTCTCCTGTGGGGTAGCTCAGGAGTCAGAAGGTGGCCATGAACAGGAGTGGCAGTGGAGCCAGGTGGCTTGGTCAGGCAAGATAAGATTACAGACCAGCCCAAGAGTATGTCAGAACATGGGCCAGGGAGCCTACGCAGCAGCGGGGGAGGGGGCAGAGAGCACCTGGGGGGCATCAGCCGTGTGAGTCAGGGCTCTCTGATGGCGACTGAGCAGGAACCGGGACAGAAGACACATGAGTGAGCAGGCACCGTCCCAACAGGATCCTGCTATGGATACTGAACCATCTCATGCAAGGTTCATGAGCTTGAAATATTAATGGCCTTTTGGATCTTTTCCCTAACCATTTGAAAACAGGAATAACAAAAAGGCTATTCTTCTATCACAAAGCCACGCAAGTCCCCAACAGGCCGAAAAGAGTTCTCTCACCCCTAGCTTGCCAGTTTTTGCCCCCAACCCAGTCCAGCTGCGACAACTGCAAAGGGCCACCTCAATGAAGAAGACCCCAGGGCCCTTGGATAGCACATTGGGTTGAATTGCTCCCATTCTGTCTAGAGCTTCCCTGCCCACATGCTCATGAATTGTGATCCCAGGACATCACAGAAACAGTCGGTCTGTTCTGAGGTTTATATTTGATGTAACATACATTTTCATTCCCTATTTTAAGTACTTAGCTTATGTGCCTTCATTTTCTCAAGTGTTGTATTATCTTATGTTTTGCATAGGCTTACAAGCTGATCCAAATCCTTTATGAAATTAAACAAAGTATAAATAAAACTAGCTTGTAGAGCGGCAGTTCTCAACCAGTGGGTCCCAACTCCTTTGGGGGTCAAACAGCCCTTTCACAGGGGGTACCTAAGACTATCAGAAAACATGGATATTTACATTATGATTCATAACAATAACAAAACCACAGTTTTGAAACAAAAACAATTTCATGGCTGGGGGTCACCACAACATGAAGAACTGTATAAAAGGGTTGAAGCAATAGGAAGGTTGAGAACCACTGATCTAGAGGCTTTTTGCCAGCTCAAAGACACCCCCAAAACACACACACGGGCACACACACACACACACGAGGTTGGTGAACTCAGACCAGCTTTGTCTTGGGGTCAAGGGTAGCATACAAGTTTCTAACACCTAGTTGCCAAACCTGAGTCCTTCAATTCCCTGTCCAGGTTGCTCTGCCTCTACTCAAAACAGTTAACTGGCTCAGATGTACTTGGCTGGGTCTCATAGAATTACAGCCAATCCTGCGGGTCGTCAGAAGCCATGGATAAGGAGTGCTGACCCCTGGGTTAGTTCTAGGATTCATGTCAGCTGCAGCTCCTTGACAGGGCTCAGTATCTCCTCATCTGGGCCTGCCTGGGACAAGCTGTAAGCTGAGCTGTGCTGGGCCAAGAGGCCACAGATGCACAGGCCTGGAACTCAGACCAGTTTGAACACAGACAGGAGCGCATTGCTGGGTATTTGATGAGCAGCCACACAACAGGAAAGTCAGCCCTGCGTTGGGGCAACCATCCCACAGAGGCTATCAGCTCACTCCTGAATTCTTTCCTGCCTAGGCCATCTACCGAACTCCAGGCTCCAGGGCAGACCTCATAGGACCCTGACTCTATCCCAAACTCATACCAAACTAAATGCAGGCAACCCTGGACCTTTGGATCTTCCAGAGCTCTGCCAGCGTGTTGGCTGTGCCATGTATGGGTAATCTTGGGTGTAAGGAGCCTTGGGAAGCCCCTTGCCAGCTGTGTTCCTAATAAAGCCACATGTTAAAATCCGGGTCCTGAAATGACAAGGGACTCAAAATCCACATTGGAACCTTTCCTTTGAAGGTCCAGAATTTTGATCTGAGGCAGTTATTCATTTGGACAAAAGTCAACAGTAACTATCCGTTAGCGATAGTGTTCTCCCTGTTGCACTGACTTTAGCAAATCATAGATTATTTCCTAGATCAAGGCAGCACAGGCTTAGTATGGCTTCCTGGAGGCACCAGGTATCCCATCCTCATGGTAGCATCAGAGCCAGGGGGATTCTTGCCTTCTAGTCCACGTCCCAAATAGGAGGGCAACAGCGGAGTTTGGGTACCCCAACACAGTCCTCTCACTTTAAGTGAATTCCCAGAAGTTCTCTTCTGGGCTTTATTCCGTTTCATTGGCCAGCTCTCAGTACAAGGGTTTCTGGGAAGTGTAGTCTTTTTGTGGACCACAGTGTTTCCATTGTTGCAGAAGCTGCCTTACAAAAAGAAGGGCAGTGGACATTTCCTGCTAAGTGGCATTTTCTAGGATATGGAGTTTTGTTTGCAGAGGCAGAAGTGTTTTCCAAGGTGTACTTTCTTACAGTCAGATCTCCTGCCTCAGAACTGGGCATTTGATCAGCAGGGCAGGTGAGGAATGAGCCTACAATTTAGCAAGGGAATGGGATGGGCTTACAGCCCTAGTCTGTACCCAGTTTCCCTGTCTTAAGGAGCATAAGTTTCAGGTTTTACACACACACACACACACACACACACACACACACACACACGCACGCACGCGCGCGCACGAGAGCGCATGCAACGAACAGCCAAAGGGTAGAGACAAGTCTCTGCAGGGATCGTGCTCCCTGCTGATGGAAGGGAAACACACAGTCACTGGAACAGCAAAGAGCTAATCCAACTGACATAACCATTCAGGGGCAGGGCCTTGGAGGATGCTGGGCAGCAGGTGTCCCCGGACACTGACTGATTAGATCATGAGCAAGGAGGTCCTGTCTTATTTTGGGGGTGGGCAGTGGCATTACTACTTTCCCAAACCCAAGCTGTCTGAGAGTATTTTGGCAACAAATCTGGGGGCAGGAAAAAGGATTTGCAGAGAGGGCCAGAGCCCAAGAGGTGAAATACAGCTGATGCAGAGAAGGCAGGGAACAGAGGGCGATCCCAGGCTCCCGCCTTCCTCCACTCAATGAAGAAGCCAGGATAGCAAAGCTCACGGCAGAACCTGCTGAAAACTACCTTTGACAGCATACACTACCACTGCCATCACCACAACCACCGTCACCACCGCCACCATTATCCTCATCACTGCTACCACATATTCCATCTCCACCATCAGCACCACCACCTCCGCTAGCATCACTGCTGCGAATCAAGGGCTCTGCTCAATGGCAGCAGCTTGCAGCAGCACCTGCCACACCAGGTGCGGCACATTTCCACTGTAGCAACTCGAAGTGGCACACGCCCCCTTTAAAAAGTCCCTCTGAACATCACAGCGCTCTCTCTCTGTCTCTCTGACTCTCTCTCTCTCTCTCTCTCTCTCTCTCTCTCTCTCTCTCTCTCCACTCTAAGATGGCCTTTCACTCACCCTCTCCCTCAATAAACCTCTTGCATTAGATCTGTTGCATGGCGTGATCTCTTAGTAGCACACCTTGGCCCAGCCTGGCAAAGGTACATTCCCACTGCTTTGTCCTAACAACCACGACCACCTCACCTCCACCACCATCACCACCCCACCCCATGCAACAAAAAGCACATGCAACAAAGGGGGCCCACAAACTCGTTTCCTTGGAAGCTCCGACTCATGTTTAAGGAACCCTGGACCACTTTTGGAGCGCCCTCTGGGCCGATTTCACAGTCCGCTGCAGATGACAACACGATTTAGAAAGCCTTGATTGCGATGGGCAGCTGGGGGAGGGGCGGGCTGCGTGGAAGAGCAACTACAGGGACAGCCTGGTGGTAGCTCTCTCGGGTTCCCCCCTCACAGATGGGAAGATTTCTGGGGGAAGTGGATGGAGCTCTCATGGCGCAGCTTCTCAGCATGGGGGTGTTCAGCCGGTAAGTGAGACGCTCCCCTCTCTGGTCCTCAGATAGCCCTCAGGGTCTGACCCCAGACACCCCCAGAGAGGCCCCAAAGATGCCTTTCTGGGGCCAGAGACTGAAGTCAATCTAGGGGTGGGTGTAAGATGTGTGGCCGTCCCACAGAGTGACTCTCCAGCCTTGGCTCAGGGTTCAGAGGAAAGCACAGGCCAACACAGCAAGCATGCTGTCTGTGTTCTTGAAGCCATCCACGCATGGGAGTGACATTTTGGCATGAGCTGGCTTCTACTCTGGCTCACTCCTCTAAGTTGGGCACCCACAGGGACCCTAGTCAACACAAATCCTGCAACCAAGGCCTCCAGGCCAGGGCATGGACTGACTGGTCTTGGCTCCGACACAGCTCACTTCTTCATTTCAGTGTGACCATGTATGACTACCAGGCCATGTGCGAGCCCCCAGATCACCGCCACAGTGCAGCCCAGGCCCTGATCAGTGTGAGTGTCCCCCCGGGCCGTCCTTCTACTGGGACTCATCCTCTGCCCTGTCCTTCAGGATGTCACCTGGTCCCATCCTCATCCAGCCCCAGACCCTTCTGGCTCAGGCTATTCTGGACCCTGTTCTGATGCTCACCCCTTCCCCTGGGGCTGCGGGGCTGTCTTGTCCTGGGGGGATGCTCATTCTCACCTCCCAGACTGACATTAACGTCTTCAGGGGTCCCTAGCACTGGTCTATCAGAGATGGGAAATGACCAGACTCCTGAGGGTTTTTCAAATTCTACCTGTGGGGAGTCTGACCTACAGGAGGCCTTTGAGGTCCCTCTGCTCTGGTGCTCCTTCTGAGGGGCAGGCAGGTTGGGTCTGGAGAGCGGTTGTTAAGGGACATCACTTGGGGTTTCCCTGAAATAGCTCTGCTCTTCCTCCAGCCTCTCTCTGCCTCCTTGATGGTGGTCAGGTGGCTACTGCACGAATGTCTGCTGTGAGTAGGGGTTAGATGGAGTGGGGAGAGAAACCATGCTCAGGGGTCAGGGGTCATGGGAGGGGAGGGCTCCCTGGACCAGGGAATTGGACCATGAGGCCAGGACCAAAGGAGAGTGTTCCCTGCAAGTGGGCCATGAGTCTTGGGTTGGAGGGGGGATTCCAGGTGACAAGAGTTCCCTTTGGGGAAGGACTGGGTTATGATTAAAAGTGACAGGCAAGATTCCCTGCATACAGCAATGAGGTCATGAGGCTACCATTAAGGGGGCTGCCTATGGCCAACAAGATAGCTTGGTTCACTAGCCACGGGAGGAGAGAGGCATTCAACCCCACCCTAGACCCTCCTTCATTCATGCCCTCAAGCAGAAAGACGGGTTCCTACAGGGGGTGGCTAGAGGCAGTGGCACCCCGAGAGTTTCACATGCCAGCCCCCCCGAGACTGTGCTCTGTATCCTGCAGGTTCCTGCTACAGTGGAGTACCTGGGGATCTTGGCAGGACAAAGGGTCAGAGGGTAAGTGCCAGGAAGCAGCTGTGGGCAGCACTCTGGGAAGCTCATTAGAAAGCTTCTGCCTGGGGTGGGTGGCAGCCGGGTGGGTGTCGAAGCCTTCATGTTCATAATCTCATCTCATCGCCTTCCCCTCGCCTCTGTGTGTGACATCGCATCACCTCTGATCACCTTCGCTCCGTGTGCCATCACCACTGCCCTATGCCATCCTGTCCTTGTGTGATGCTGTGCCTTCCCTGTGCCGTGCCCAACCCTGTGGTGGGCTCTTGTCCTGGGCAGCCAAGGCTGTCTTTCATCATTGTAAGTAGTTCTGACGGAGAGAGCCTACCTTGCCCAGTGCCGGGGGAGCTGTAAAGGACTTGTCTTTAAGTCTGTGTCTTGGGAGTGAGCACAGGCAGCCTGAGTTTCTTTATCCTAGGACACTCCTTGACTGGGGACAGGAGGCGGTCCCCAAACCTTTAGAGCACCATTTTGAGGAAGCAAGAAAGCCCAGAGCTCAGGCCACACAAGTACAGGCCTGCTTTAGGAAACAGCCGTCTCCTCTTGAGGGGTTCTGATAGTTAAAAGGGAGGTATAGCCCATCATGTTGTTGAGATGCCACCAGGTCACCCTAGAGAAGAAAGCAGCCTCGGCAAGGCTCCAGGTTTGAGGGAGTGTCCTCTAGAATGGCACCCCTCCCCTGAAGTTGTGCCTAAAGATAGTCCCCAAAAACAATGACATGTCATGGCGGCTCTGACACAAAGCAAAGGGAAAGCTTTGTCCCAGCTGCTGTGGACTCCTGCCGGCCTGGGAAGGGGGGACACTTGACCTCAGCCTGGAAAGGGGGACACCTGACCTTTACAAGCCGAGAGACACAAACGCACTTAGGTCCTGGAGATGTGGGCTTCCCGGGCCAAAACGATGGCCAACCTTAGCCCACCCCGCTAAACTCTCTCTGGGTTCTGGACATCCAGTAGCCAGGAGACTCCCACTGCCTTCTTGTCTGGCTTCATTATATGAACAATGTCCCCTCCTTCCCTCTGCCTCCTCAGCTGCTGCTGGTGACCAGGGCAGGTCCTTGGACCTGAAGTTCCTGTGGTTAGGCCCCCTTCATAACTGGAGTTATGAAGCCAGTGACCCCAGTGGCAGGAAACTAGCTCAGTTCTAAGCCTGAACCCCTGGGAAGAGAAAAGCCAGTTGTGAGGCATCTGTCCTCTGACACTGAGGACCAGGAGCAGGGGTGCCCAGTGGCATAAACAGGGATGGAAGCTGGCTGGGCTGTGGGTGCTTCCCCAGGCCACGAGGATTGTTCAGCCTGCCCTCCCCTCTTAGATTTACTATCTGTGAGGGAAGCTTCTGGGTCCAAGCATTGAGACCTGTGACTTTCCTCACGCCTTGTGTGACCTTGCAAAAGCAATGTCATGTCTGCACCTCCACTTCCAGGTGTTTCCAGGCCACTGTGCCTTCCCTACACTTCCTTCGCTGCTGGGCCGTAAGAGGCAAAGTGTGCTTTGGCATAGCAGCACTGCAGGGTACCCACGAGTGCTCTGCAGAAAGATCTCAGGGCTCCTGGCGAGGGCCACCCAGCAGCTCAGCGAGGCCTCCAGACTCCGCGGTGCCTTTTGCTGAGTGCTGGTCACTTGTAGCAAACTAAAGGATGCTGCCCTTACAGATGGGCTTCCTAGGGCCTCTGTGAGGTGATAGCCCTCCTCACACACATGCCTGCCACCCACAGCCCACAAGCACAAGAAGCAGGACCTGCTGCACCCCTGTGACACAGAATACCCAGTGTTCGTGCACCAGACGTCTATCCAGGAGGCCAATGGGATCATCGAGTGTGAGGCCTGCCAGAAGTAAGTCCCCATGCAGCCACCAAGCCCAGTCAGGGTGCAACTTCTCGCTCCTGGTCCACGGTAGGCAAGGACGGTGCCTCGGGGAAAGGTCACCTTCCTCATCTCCCTACTCCTCAGCACAGGGAAAACCCAGGCTGAGGCAGGAGAGAGGAAGAGGGGCATGAACAATTTGGTGGTCTGCATTAGGGAACACAGGGAAAAGGAATCCAGAGGCCAATTCCCATGTCCACAAGTCTCTCTAAATCCAAGGCCACGGGCCTCTCTTAGAATTCCCTTGCTTGCTTCCCTTCTGCTCAGCCAAACCAGCCATGGCAAGCTGGTGCCGGGGCCTTTCACACTTAGGCCCCAGGCAGGGAAGGAAGCAGGAGTTCTGCCCTCTACAAAGTAGGAACTGTGTGCAGGTCTGCAGCGTCCCCAGAAAATGCACAGGGGTGGGGGGGGGAGCCTCGGCCTATATTCCCAGAGCTGTCATTCTCTGGGGCATCAGCACCCCAAGCCAATAGTTTCCAAGCAGGACCCAGTCAGGCTAACTCCTGGGTAGAAACCTCTAGCTTCGTCCAGACAAGCTCAGAAGGCCAAACCTACTGACTTCCCACTCCAAACCTTGGAGGAAGCGGCCCGGAGACTTCTGTCCCACCCAAGAGGAGAGTACATCTAGGGGCTCCCTCAACCAGTTTTGCTTCTCACCAGGGCCACTAGCAGGTCTGGGGAACCCCAGACCCATGCCAGCTATTTTGTAGCCTCAGATTCTGACGTCAGACAGATTTAGGTTTCTGTTTCTTTATCACGTGTGACATCTTATGCACACACAGAGCAGCCTTCCTGGGACTGGCGCTATTGACTGTGCTCATCTTGAGACTTGAAGGAAACGTCAAGGGGATGGCAGAAAGTAAGGGCCTCCCCGCAGACAGGCTTGACTCTTTAAATCTAGCTCTGCTCCTCTCTGCCTCTACTATAACCATAGGCAAGTTTAGCCCTTCTCGCCTGTTTTGTCTGTGCAGAATGGGAACGATACCAAGTTCACATAACGCTGTGACGAGCACATCTGTGAGTTTATATATGTGATATACACCTGTGCGTGTAACATCACCCACTCCATACAAAATGCTTGGTGGCAGCCGGCACTGCTGTGTTTCTAACACCCGGCCAATGCAAAAACGCCTTTCCCTACCCCCTACCCCAAGCTGTGTATAGGAGCATTGTGCCACCTTGTGGCCAAGCTCAGAACTGCAAGTTCTCCAGCTCTCAAGCCGAGATAGTTAATATCCCTGTTTGCTGGGAATGGCCCCTGTGCCTGTTAAAGACAGCTCCTTCTTCATCTTCTCTGGCTATTGGGAAAGGAGGGAATGCCTTGTAAGTACCGGGCTACTGGCCTCAGTCTGCCTATGGCTACATGTCTTTCCAGGTGCCTCAGAAAGTTTCTCCCCCAAGTCCTTCTCCTTAGCCTGCACCCCTACTACTCAGAGCCTCCCACCCTCTCTGCTGCAGGACATTCGTGATGCAACAGATTCCCAGCAGCAACCTGCTCCTCCTAGTGACAGACCTTACCTGTGACTGCAGCGCCTACTCTCCCATCCTCCAGGAGGCCACAGAAGTCAAATATATCCTTCACATCCCCCAAGGGGGAAGGGGTGGCTGAGGGATCATGGAGAAGCTCAGATTTGGGGTGCAGAGCCCAGCCTGTGCCCCCATTCCCTTCCTTACAGGATGACTTATAGGCCAGCCCTCTGCCCCAGAGAGGGGTGCTCCCCATCCTGAACCTGCTTGCAGGGCCACTGACCTCCCAGATCTTGACCCCAGGATCTCCAGGACTACGTAGAGTTGTGACCTTGACAGTGAGCTCTGCACATAATGCCTCTGTCAAATGCGACAGGATGCGCTCCCAGAAGCCCCGGCGGCGCCCAGGATCCTGCCATGCCTTCCATCCAGAGGTGTGGGCTGTGAACTCCCCAGTTGTGTCCTGTGTGTGACCTCCTGGGATATGAATGTTTATGGACATTGATGACAGAACTCTATGTGCCCATCATACTGGGAGACCCTTGCACTCACATTTATGTGGTGTGATGTAAGAAATCAGATTGGCCAGGCCTGTCATCCCAGCACTAGGGGGCAGAAGCAAGCAAGGGAATTCCAGGTCAGTTTGTGTGGGACAGAGAGGCCACAAGTTGGGGGGTTGGTGAGAGACAAGAAGCAGAGAGGAAGAAAGAGAAGGGAAGAGAAGAGAACAAAGGACCCAAGGGAATCTATACTTCCTAGAGCCTGGGGCCCAAGGAGTTTCCCCTCTCCGTCCACACTCCGGCTACCTCAGCACGAATCACTATTACGTGACTAGTGACAATAGCAAGTGGTATTTATTAACACCTGAGATGCGGGCCTTACTACCCAGTCTCAGCTGGGTGTGGCTGCCACAAACTACCTCCCCTAGAGATGCCCCTGGAGGTCAGGGCTGCTCCACACAATTATGAGAAGACCCCAAAGACTAAGTATGCTGTTTTTACTGTCCCTAAAAGCTGGAAGAAAGGTAGGTTTCTTCTCTTCTGTCTGTGTCTAGCCACACTGCATGCTGGCCCTTGGGTTGGGAGGACCAGCCCACTCCTAATGCCCCTTACCTGTCTCTACAGGAGAATGCTCAGGACTGTGGTGGCGCTTCAGACATCCCAATGTCACTCCCTCTGCTCCTGCTACCGCTGTGGGCCTGGCTGCTTCCACCCCAGCTTCTGTGGTGACCCCATTCTATCTGACTTTCACAGAAGGGAACCCTTAGAGAGACATTCTAAAGTCACCAGCTGGTGAGGTCTCAGCTTCTTAGCAGTAAGGTGTCTCCTGGGGCTACCACCAGTCTCTTAGAGACTGTTGGAAGGATCCCCAAGGCTCTCCAAGGTGTTGGGTACCAGGTACTCCAAGTCTTCTACTCTTATCTCTGCTTCAGGACTCCCAACAAGAGCTTAATTGGAGGAAGGATACAAGTTAACCAAAGATCAGAAACTGTCAAAGGGGCAGGTGTTTCCCTGAGTTCTGGGGGCCAGGGTTGAGCAGTGAGACCCAGGCAGAGGCTATGCCAAGAGCACACTTGCCATCAACACAGGAGTCTTTAGGAAGACGCCTTCATCCACGACATAGTACGAGGGAAGGCAGGCAGAGGGAGAGACAAGAAGACTCAGAGAAGGAGCAGGAAGGAGGAAAGAAGTGGAAATACGATCCTGTGAGCTATCAGAATGCAACCCACTAAGAACTCCAACCTTTTTACACCAATCATCTGAAGGAGAGCAGCGAGGGGTATATGGGAGCATCTGGAGGGAGGAAAGGGAAGGGAGACATATTGAAATTATAATCTCAAAAAGAAAAGAAGAAAAAGAAAAGCTACCAGGCTGAGACCTGCAACTGCAGCACTGTATTACAGTGTGGTCCAGAGGAGCTACAAAAGGCAGAGCCAGGTCGGATCCTCACTAAGGTCAGGGGCACATACAGTCTCTGAGACCATGGTGGGCTTTCTGTGGCTCATGTTCTACAAAAGTTAACTAACCACCTGTCTGGTGAAAGCCCTTGAGGTTAGAAACACATATAATCCTGGCCACCATGCCTTGGAGTAGGTACAATTTACCTGCCCTTTTTTGGCACGTGTGATGCATGTGACTGTGTATGTTTGTGGACCTGTTTGTGCACAGATGCAGAGGCCAGAGGATGCTGTTGGTCATCTTCCTCGCCCACTCCCTAACTTATTTTTTGAGATAAGGTCTCTCGCTAAACCCGGGGCCCTCCAATTCAGCCACACTAGGTGGCCAGCAAGTCCTAGGGACCCTTGTTACCACCTCCCCCAGTGCTGGGGTTACAAGCATGCTCTGCTGTTCCCCCACTGTTTCAAGGATGACGGGGAATCTAACTTGGGTCCTTGTACTTCACTAGCTGAGCCTCTCAAGCCCCATGATTTTCTGTCTTTTAAATGAGGAAACTAATCCCCACAAAGCGGCACACACATCTTTAGTCCCAGCACTCAAGAGGCAGAGGCAGGCAAATCTCTTAATTTAAGGTCAGTCTGGTCTACAAAGTGAGTTCCAGAACACCTAAAGCTACACAGGGAAACCCTGTCTTGAAATAAAGTAAAAGGGGGGAACTAAAGTTTGCAGAGGGGAAACTGGTTCTAAATCTTGGCTTTGTGAAGATCCCGTGGAACAGGCAACGTACCTAGAGCTGCCAATCCACAGCAGCTGGCACTGGGCAGACTAAGCACTTCCCCCACGCCCCTAAGCATCTTGCTCCACAGCATAGAAGGCAGGAAAGATCAGAGGTGCTGCCCAGCCCAGGTGAGGTACAAACCACTGCAGCTGAGCTTCCTCCTCCATGCCACCAAGACAGTGTTGCCAGGCATGGCAGGGTAGGTCTTTCCCAGTGCCTGCCTCCCTGGCTTTGTTGTTAGTGTTGTTACCTCTACTCAGCAGCATTAAGTCTCAGTGACAAGCACTGCATGGTCTCTCAAGGGAGCTCCTCTCCCTCATCCACCCAGGCAAAGCATTTGAACCAACTTATCAACTATTTTGGGCACAGGATAAAAACATTAAGTGTAGAATGCCAGGCGGTTCCTGGCCACGAATATGGAGCTCTTGTACCTGGCACTGCTAAAGGACTGTAGGTTTTCAAGCGTCACCAGAAGCAGCTGAAGCAAAGGCATTCCCGACAGACTGCCACTCTGTCCCTACGATGCAGAACTCCGTCAAGATGCTTGCAGGTGGTAGCCTAGCTTTGGTTAAAGATCCAGTCCTTTGACTTCTGAGGAAAGAAGTTGGTGTCCCTGCCATTCACTAAGTGGGATATGGTGTTCTGGCATCTTTATGCGTCACCTTCAATGGAAGAAGAGCTCAAGGACGCTGTCAGAAGCACATGCTTTACTAGAACCACCTCAAATAAAAGGCTTCAACACCATCTCATGATGCTAAATGAAGTTTGCTTCAGAACTTGGGAGTGGACGCATCTTAAGGTCAGAAAAGTATAGGGGTAAGACGGGCTCAAAAAAAAAAAAAAAAAACAGCACAAGCGTTTGGCAGAAGACAAGCCAAGTTCAATGGCAGTTTGGGGAACACTCTTCACAGTGTAAAGGCAGGCTGCAAAGGGTGCTTTTATTTTTGGCAGGTGAGAGCATATGGGAGGGGCCAGGGACCCATGTCCCATGGCAAATGACAGGACTGAGGATGCATACTTGCCTCTCTATTCCAAGGCTAGTGTAGTCAAAGGACAGGCAGACAGTTGCCAGGCCATGAAGCTGCAGCTAAGCCCTCCTCAAAGGTTCCCGAGGGGCTGAGCCAACAAGTATTTACATGGGGGTGGGGAATAACCGGTGCTCCAGTGCAACTACAGCAAAGCATTTGAGACAGTACTGCTCCTGGGCTGCAGCAGTGCCATGCAGAGCTTCTCTAGGGAGTGCAGACCGCCCTGATAAAACAGTGACCAATGTGCATGTGGCAAGGCTCCCTCAGCTCTCAGACCTCTATGGTCACCGCAACCAGGTATAGAGAAAGCTCATCATATTTTAAAGATAAGGTCTGTGTAGCCCAGGTTGGCCTTAAACTCATGATCTTCCTGCATCAACCTCCTGATGACAAGAATTTTCTAAAAATTCCTTAAATTTCCTGTCTAAATTAGGGTGTTAAAAACATCCCCAAAGTGAAGTAAGGTTTTCAAAAGAAAAAAGGCAATAAAAACACAACAAAGTTGATCTTCCATTTGGCTCTTTTTATTAGAGAAACTGAGAAGACCGCAAGTAGGGAAACCCCATGGTGAATGGAACAGTCACACAGACGCCTTTCTGGAACCCCAACCTTCTACAATCCCCAAAAGTGTGCTTTGTGACATCAGCAACTTAGAAAGGGGAAATACTGACAAAGGCCACTATTTACTGATGAAAGAATGAAGGTGTACGGGTTCCTAACTGGCCTAGGGCCAAGAAGAAAATGAAACACGTGCGCAGAGCAAGCCAGCCTCAAACTGCTGAAGGTAAGGCACTCAGGTGCCAACCTGACGAGCTCCCGGGGGCACCAGGTCAAGTGCACATGGAGGCTGTTGTAGTGAGCTGCAGAGACACGTGGGCACACAGACAGACAGACAGACAGACAGACAGACACACAGACACACAGACACACACACACACACACACAGAAGGGAAGTTACTAGACACACTAGTGGTGTTGATTCTTTTCCCTAAGAGTTTGTGCTATGGTGAACCAGATTCTCCCTGCTTGGGAAAGGGATGACTGGACCCAAAGACCTCTACTTCTGTAGAGTCATGGGTAGCATCTCATACTCTATCCCAAGTACAGGACCAGGAAGTAAGTCTGGCTTCTGATATGTGCTGTTGCTACCACAAACCTAGGTGAACTTCCTTCTAGATGGACATTGTCCTGTTTAACTGCTTGAGGAATTAACACTGTTCTCTAACTCTGCCTGACACAATGTTGTTCACCCGGAGTCTTCTGTTTGGTCTACCTAGGGCAGTGACCTTATCCACAATCAAACACTTGAAAGTTCTTCCCAGCTTTTACAGTGGATGCCTTCCTGGATCCCCAGCTGCAGCTGGAGATCTGAAGGTAAAGGAAGGACAACATGACCAAGAAAACACTACTGAATAAATAGAACCTTCTCCCACTCCCAAGCATCCCTTTTGAGATGCCTGGGGCCCTATGTTAAACGCAATACCCACCAGCCCCAGGATGTGATGCCTGCCTGAAGTCTTGGAGACTCAAATGCTTGGCTTTTCACTTAGGAGCCAAGATCAGAATTCTATAAACCAGACCCAATTCATCCCCAGTCTCTAAAACCCATAACACAGTAGCCCTGGGACAGAGAAATTGTCTTCTAGCAGCCATTCAAAACTGTGGGCTTAAGTCTATCAGACATCTAGCAGGAACACACCACTTCCTTTCCAACTCTGTACCACACTCCTTGCAAACGGCACTCAGTGAGTGCTAACTACTCCACAGTAGATATCGCTCACTTTCTGTCCAAGGGGAACAGAAGAACCTGTTCTGCCATACCACACTTGCCAAGACAGTGCACCAGAGAAAAACACCATCACTCCCAGTAGGGATGGCTCTCTATACCTGCCTATTTGACTTCATTAGAATTTCACTAGTGACCATGCCAGGAGCTATGGTGGGAGGGAGAAGGTGGGAGGAGAAGCGGGGCAGTTTTTTATTTCCAGGGGCAGTGATTCTCAAGAGAGCAAAGTTTGGAGCTCAAGGCTTCAAAGAGAGGGTCTGGAAAATGGCCACATCTCTATTCAGATAAGAACTACCACCTGGTTAAACAGGACACAGAGAAGAACTAGACAGGCCCTGTGCTGATGCTCCCTTCCTCCCTCCCAGAGGACCTCCTCCCCTTCATCATCTCTTTACTACACCACTCCAGAAAGGGCCTACGTGACAGCCTCTCAACTGACACCTTCTCTAGAGCCATACAGCAGCCTGTGCTGCTTTCACTGGAAAAGCACACACCACTTCCTTTCATTTGCCTCCCCTCACTGTTGAGAATGGCCAGAAGATCCCTGGGCTGGGCCTGTACCCTCTGTCCCAGCAGGATCCAAGTGTTATCAGCCTATGAAAGGCACCGTGGTGCACCAAGACATCGTGCATTCTGGGGCTACCACTTTATCCTCCTTCCATCACTTTGTGCAAAATTGAAACAGTGTGTGGTACTTGCATGTTTCATTCTTTTAAAAAAAAGTCTCCCTCCCTCCCCTGCCTCTATGTTTTAAATGTTTATATAAATTCTTATTTAAACAGTAAATTAGAAATCTTATTTACATTAATTTTTTTGTTCTCCCAAAAGAGTGCCTAAACTCACACTCCAACCCCTTTGTTGGATATAAATGTTCACCTAAATTGGTTTGGTTATTGTTTTGAGGAGCTCCGGTGGCACAATCTGTCGGTACATGGTACTCATGTATTACTGCTTTAAGGAGAGAGAAAGGGAGAAGAAAGAACCACCAACCAACATTCCCATCTTCTACAAATAAATACGATCACATCAGAAACCAGTCTGTCAGGCAAGGGTCTTGCAGAGTTGCCTTCAATCGGAAGATCCCAAAAGGAAGTAAGGGGATGAGCCATTTTGCCTTTTCTCCAAATTGATGCACTCCATCCTTTGAGGTATGATTTATTTTTGTTTTTCTCTTCTTAGTCTTGAACCCCATGGAGCCCTTGGGCCATCACAAGGCCCGTGAGGCTGTCCAAGTTTTGGGGCTTCTCTGGCACTGGTACCAGCAGCCAGTAAGCAGGCCTGTGGGAGCTGCAGGCCTGGGTTCGGGGTCACAGTCCCTGGCTCCTGTGAAGTTTCACAGTGCATCCTCTTCAGTGCAGCCCCCGCCAATCATGAAACGGAATTCCTGCAGGTTTGAGACGCCGTGGAAGTGAACGAAGGCGCCAGCAACCACAAAGATGTGGAAGAGCTGGTGGGAGTGGAACTGGAGGGAGAGAGGGGGAGACCATTACTAAGCCTGCTATAGATACCTAGGAAGAGATACTGCTTCCCAGCTTGACAGTGGAAATGCATATGATACAATTCAAATTCAAGATGGGGAGCAGGGCGGTGGTGGTGCACGCCTTTAATCCCAGCACTCGGGAGGCAGAGGCAGGCGGATCTCTCTGAGTTTGAGACCAGCCTGGTCTATAGAGCTAGAGTTCCAGGACAGGAACCAAAAAAGCTATGGAGAAACCCTGTCTCGAAAAATCCAAAAATTCAAGATGGGACAAGAATATCCATTGGGGACCTCATATTCTGAGTCAAAAGCCAGCTCTCCTAGAGAAATACAGGTACTGCCTATAAGTGAACTTAGGGGTAAATTCCATACAGACCTTACAGTTAGATCACCGAATTCCCCAGGACCCCCTGACAATCAGCAGCAGGATATGGTTTACTGACAAACACTTGAGAAATGACAACACTCTCTCATGGTCTCAAGATGGAAAGACACAGTGCTATCTATCAAGACACTGGTATCAGAAGTATAACTGAGCCGAGTGGTGGTGACACACGCCTTTAATCCCAGCCCTCAGGAGGCAGAGGCAGGCAGATCTCAGTGAGTTTGAGACCAACCTGGTTTACAAATCAAGTTCTAGGACAGCCAGGGCCATAACACAGAGAAACCCTGTCTCAAAAAACAAAGGAAGAAGTACACCTGAGAAGAAACGAAAGGAAGTTAGCTAACCTAAGCTCAGAAGACTGAGTTCAGGAAAGGAAGTTAGCTAACCTAAGCTCAGAAGACTGGGTTCAGGAAAGGAAGTTAGCTAACCTAAGCTCAGAAGACTGGGTTCAGGAAAGGAAGTTAGCTAACCTAAGCTCAGAAGACTGAGTTCAGGAAAGGAAGTTAGCTAACCTAAGCTCAGAAGACTGGGTTCAGGAAAGGAAGTTAGCTAACCTAAGCTCAGAAGACTGGGTTCAGGAAAGGAAGTTAGCTAACCTAAGCTCAGAAGACTGGGTTCAGGAAAGGAAGTTAGCTAACCTAAGCTCAGAAGACTGGGTTCAGGAAAGGAAGTTAGCTAACCTAAGCTCAGAAGACTGGGTTCAGGAAAGGAAGTTAGCTAACCTAAGCTCAGAAGACTGGGTTCAGGAAAGGAAGTTAGCTAACCTAAGCTCAGAAGACTGGGTTCAGGAAAGGAAGTTAGCTAACCTAAGCTCAGAAGACTGGGTTCAGGAAAGGAAGTTAGCTAACCTAAGCTCAGAAGACTGGGTTCAGGAAAGGAAGTTAGCTAACCTAAGCTCAGAAGACTGGGTTCAGGAAAGGAAGTTAGCTAACCTAAGCTCAGAAGACTGGGTTCAGGAAAGGAAGTTAGCTAACCTAAGCTCAGAAGACTGGGTTCAGGAAAGGAAGTTAGCTAACCTAAGCTCAGAAGACTGAGTTCAGGACCGTCTCTCTTCATTGACTTTAAGAACATGAGTGGCCAGCTCAGCACACAACTGTGCGCAGTAGTGAGAAGCAGGACCTAGAGCACTCCCTATCTATTTACTACACTG